TTTTCTTTGCACATGATAAATTATCGTAGGGAAGATTGAATCTTCCACGGATATTCACATATCATGGATATCATTAAGTAAGAGAATGGGATTTTTTGCTCAGATTAAAAACCAATATGAAAGTAGGTTGGGGGGCTGGGCAATAATTGCTCTTGCGCATCACATGAAACATGCATGTCAGGATAAATAAATAAAAGTTTGATGATTACAGAAAAGTTATCTTCCTCGTCTTGATACTCGCACTTTCACCATGGTTACAGAAAAGCTATCTTTCTCATCTTGATACTCCTGCTTTCACCATGTTGCCTATGTTAATTTTAGACCTTTTCATAGAAAGTAATTTTTTAGTCCCATCTACAGCCTCAATCATATTGTCAACATGTCGAGTTAGGAGAATGTCTTCATGACCATGTCTTACATTATTGGGGGAAAATAAATCGCTGATGCTATATTTTCAATGTTCAATTGAAATTGAGCATCATGTGTTGATTGCTGTTGTTGGTTGTGGTGCTGGAACCATTCTTGAAGTTTGAGTTCAAACATTCTTCTACTTGATTGTCTCTAAATGATTTTCTTCGTCAACTAACAATCTTATATTTTTCTGTGATGCAGCTTGGAGTTGAGACTGTGCCAGTCCTTGTAGGTCCTGTTTCATACTTGTTGCTATCAAAACCAGCAAAGGGTGTGGAGAAATCCTTCTCTCTTCTCTCCCTACTCGACAAGATTCTTCCAGTCTACCAGTGAGTGCCTGACTTTTTTGATGAGTTTTCTTAGGGTGGATGATAGGTTATACTATTTGTTTCTATCTCGAGAATCTATGCTGATGATTAGTTTCTTTCAGGGAAGTTGTGACTGAACTAAAGGCAGCTGGAGCAACCTGGATTCAGTTTGATGAGCCTAAGCTTGTGATGGATCTTGCAGCTCACGAATTGCAAGCATTTACTCATGCCTACTCAGTACTCGAGGCATCTCTATCTGGTTTGGATGTTCTGATTGCGACGTACTTTGCTGATGTTCCAGTTGAGGCATACAAAACACTCACTTCTTTGAAGAGTGTTACTGCATTTGGGTTTGACCTTGTTCGTGGAACAAAGACCCTAGATTTGGTTAAGGGTGGATTCCCTTCTGGAAAGTACCTCTTTGCTGGAGTGGTTGATGGAAGGAACATCTGGGCTAACGATCTTGCTTCTTCCCTCAGTACACTAAATGCTCTTGAGGGCATTGTGGGCAAAGGTATTAATGCTTTAGTACGGTGTTTTATCATTGCCATTTGTTATACTTTACATGAGCTGAAAAATGCATCTATCTTTTGCATCTGCAGACAAGCTTGTTGTATCCACTTCCTGCTCTCTTCTTCACACTGCTGTTGATCTAGTTAACGAGACTAAGTTGGACCAAGAGATCAAGTCATGGCTTGCATTTGCAGCACAAAAAGTTGTTGAAGTAAATGCCTTGGCCAAGGCACTTTCTGGACAGAAGGATGAGGTACCTCATTGCTCAGTTTTCTCATCATACATCTGCTTGCGTTATTTAAAACATAAAACATTCTACAAATTAGAAGTTAATTGCAGTTTATGTTTAGACAGTTTTAAAACCAATCTTCATCTCATGGTTTCTGTATCAAATTATTTGATTTGCGAATGGATGCATTCATAAGTATCGAGTTGTTTGTTATCAATATTAGAAAACCAAGAGGCCTTACTCTTAAAAGGTTCCTTTTGTGACTAACAGAAATATGATGATATAATTAGCAAATGCTATACTAAGTTCTTTTTCTCCTATTTCTGTACATCCAGGCATTCTTTTCTGCAAACGCAGCAGCTCTGGCTTCAAGAAAATCCTCACCAAGGGTCACAAACGAGGCTGTTCAAAAGGCTGTAAGTGGTTTTTAGTTCATCCCTAATGCTGTTGTATGGCTTATGTTGGATAGCTTGTTCTTACATTGTATTGTTGCTCCTCCTTGCTTAGGCTGCTGCTTTGAAGGATTCAGACCACCGACGTGTCACCAATGTTAGTGCTAGGTTGGATGCTCAGCAGAAGAAGTTGAACCTCCCAATTCTTCCTACCACCACAATTGGATCATTCCCTCAGACCATGGACCTTAGAAGAGTGCGACGTGAATATAAGGCTAAGAAGTGAGAAATACTGTTCCATAATTGCTACTGTTGTTTAATTTATTAGTTTCATCTTGTGTTTCAACTTAGCTGGTTTTTATTTTTCTTTTTCCTTTTCCTGTTTGATAAAAATTAGGATCTCAGAGGAAAATTATGTTGAGGCCATGAAGGAGGAAATCAACAAAGTTGTTAAAATCCAGGAAGAGCTTGACATTGATGTTTTGGTGCATGGTGAACCTGAAGTGAGTTCCCCACTTGAATAAAATGGCTTAGTTTTTTAGTTGTCATGCATTTTCTTCTCTTCGAAATTGTATTGAATGTTAATGTTTCTTTGCAATGCAGAGGAATGACATGGTTGAGTACTTCGGTGAGCAATTGTCTGGTTTTGCCTTCACTGCTAATGGCTGGGTCCAATCTTATGGTTCTCGTTGTGTCAAGCCTCCTATCATCTATGGTGATGTGAGCCGGCCCAAGGCCATGACTGTGTTCTGGTCTTCAATTGCTCAAAGTATGACTAAGCGACCCATGAAGGGAATGCTTACTGGTCCAGTTACCATTTTGAACTGGTCTTTTGTCAGAAATGACCAGCCCAGGTAAGAATAAAAATAGAACTATTATAACAATGCTCAGTTTGCATGCTTTTAAATATATTTTTACATTACTTACCTATGTTCATATTAGATTCGAGACCTGCTATCAAATTGCTTTGGCCATCAAGGATGAGGTTGAGGATCTTGAGAAAGCTGGAATTGCAGTCATCCAGATTGATGAGGCTGCTTTGAGGGAGGGCTTGCCCCTAAGGAAGTCTGAGCATACTTTCTATTTGGACTGGGCTGTTCACTCTTTCAGGATCACTAATTGCGGTGTCAAAGACACTACTCAGGTTCTTTCCTCTTCTCTTGTTGTTTTTTGAGAGATTTATTGGACATTGGGCTACAGGATGGGAGGTGGTCTTCCCTATTCCCCCACCCATCCTATGATCTAATCCTTAAAAATTTCCAGCTAAAGTCCCAGGTGAGCAATGTTGACAATGCATCTTAAAAATTGTAGTGCCCATATCACCACCCCTAATACTTCAAGATCGTTGTTTAGACTTGAAATGGTTGGTCGCAAGTTCTTGATAGTATGCCACCGAAAACTTGCAAATTCAGGAAATTTTCTGTTGGAGAGTAATGAAAGAATGGAGATTTTGGTGCAAATAGTATTGTATTGCATCCAAGATTTTGGGGAGGGGTTGGGTGGAAGATGTGCTATTTTGTGGCTTCTATGGCGTCTCTTTGCTGGATTTATGATTCTAACACTTGTGGATGATACTAAACAACTGTGTTGCTTGGACAGATCCACACCCACATGTGCTACTCAAACTTCAACGACATCATCCACTCAATCATTGACATGGATGCTGATGTGATCACCATAGAGAACTCCAGATCTGACGAGAAGCTTCTCTCAGTCTTCCGCGAGGGTGTGAAATACGGTGCAGGCATTGGCCCGGGTGTTTATGACATTCACTCTCCTAGGATCCCCTCAGAAGAAGAAATCGCCGACCGCATTGAGAAGATGCTCGCAGTCCTTGAAAGCAACATCCTCTGGGTCAACCCAGATTGTGGTCTGAAGACCCGCAAGTATACTGAAGTCAAACCTGCCCTCAGCCACATGGTCGCAGCTGCCAAGCGCCTCCGCACCAAGCTTGGAAGTGCCCAGTGAGTTCAGAAGGTATTGCTGAATCACCATTCTTTCATCTGCGAAGGGAAATTATGTATTAAAGCTTGAATAATAAGCTGTGTTTTTCTGAGATGAGTATCTTCCTTGTTTTCTTGTTTCTTTTAATTTAGGAAGCACTTATTATGTAACTGAATATGCTCCATAAAGGTCATGAAGCCCTATTTCTTTGCTCATACTTCCTGATTAATGATTCTTGAAGAGCCCTGTCATTTTCTTAGAAACAGTATATCTGTTCCCTCGTTTATGTTTGGTTAACCCATCGGTTAGAAGGCTTGTACGAATCCTGAGAGCTAAGCTTCAAGTAATTTTCTTTGCTCATGCACCCTATATTGTTTTTCTTGCCACCTTTCCCCCTCAAAAAGGTGAAATAAGCACAAAAGGGGCTACTCCCACCGTTTTAGCTTTTTCTTGCTTGCATCAGCACTTGCCTTTTTTTCACATGCGATCTACTTCGTTTTAAAAACTTAAAATTGCCGCTAATTTTGATCGGTTTAATAGTAAAAATTATTTTCCTACAATTTCAATTTGTGTAATTTAAATCTTAAAAATATTAATTTTGTTAAAATATTAGTTTTGTTTTTGAGTAAATTTTATTCAAATTCTTTTTTTTTTTGTTATTTATAATGGTTAACTTGCTGTTAAGCGAAATGGTTAAATGAAGTTCTTTAAGCGTTCGGATTTTGTTTAAAAAAAACTTCTTTTTTAATGCAAATTCTCTCTTTTTTATTTTTTGTTATTTATAATGCTCAACGGATTGTTAAGTGAAATGATTAAACTAAATACTTTAATCATTATGGTTTTTCTAAACAAAAAAAAACTTTTTTTTACTGCTCAGATTTCTTCTTACAAAAAAGAATAAATTATAAATTAATTCCTCTCGTTTTAAAAAATAAATAAATAAATATTTTTGATTTTAAAAATTAAGTATTTAGTTCTTTAAATCGGTGTTTGATTATGACTAATTTAATGTTTTACAACTAATTTAATGTTTTATAAAATATCTTATTTTCTTGTCAATCTTTCCACATGTTTGCTTCTTCTTTTTTTATTAGAAAAAAAACCAAAATAAATCAAAAAATAGGAAGAAGACTAAATAATTAGTTTGCAAAAAAAAAGGACTAATTAATTTATTTTTCAAATCGGGAAGGACTAATTTATAATTTACTCGAACAAAAAGCCATCGTTTACTATCGCTGACCGTTTCTGTCCCTCCTTTTCCTCTTCCTCTTCCTCCCCGAACTCAGACTCACCACTCCACTGAGTCCCAGAGTCACCTAACTCACACGACTCCTCCCCTCCACAATCACCTCCCCCTTCCTCCTCCCTGCACCACTTTTCTATTCAATCTGCCCATAACTGGATCAACTTTCTCCAATTTTCCTACCGCATCCTCTACTCCACCCTTCCCATCGGACTCGGTCGAATTCGACTCATTCACCGCCTGGTTCTCCCGGTCCGACTCCTCGCCTGAAACCAAAACAGGTTTCTCTGATTCATGCTCCTCCTTGTTTTCCGATCTCTCTTGCTTCAGATCTGGTTTCTCTGTATTGCTATCTCCTCTTTGAACGCCTCTCTCTCGCTCTTCCTCCAAGCACCTTCAATTGATTATTTCTTGAGATTAATGTAAGAGAATCATCAATTCCTTCCGTGTTAGCTCAATATCCTGAGGTTATAGGAATTGAGCTGAAGGAAAAACTTTCGGGTCAACAGAGTTTACTTCATTCAGCTATTGATTTGGGCCCTCAGGACTTTGGCAGAGCTTTTGAGAAAGATACCCATTGTGAAACGTAAATTTCCTGAAGAATCTTGACATTATGAAACGTAGCTTTGATTACTTCCAAATGGAGATGGAAGGGCCTTTGGATGATTTGGTTATTTTTCCCGCTTTCTTTACATATATGTTTAGGAGTCTACTATAAAACCAAGACATAAAAGGTTCGCAAAGAAGGGTTTGAAGTGTTCCCTTTCATGGCGGCGGAGTTGTCGTAGTTCTTTGAGCCAAGGAAGGTGAACAAAATTATTATTATCGGTGCAAAAAATTAAATTAAAAAAAAAACTTTTTTTTTTTTTTAATGGGTTTTCTATAGCATGAGAATGCTTAAATTGCATCGTTTAAATATTCTGTTTAACATAAATCTAATTGACGATTATAAATAACGAAAACAAAAAAATAAAATAAAACTTGTCCAAAAAAAATATTTTAAAGTTTAAATTAATAATTAATAAAAAAATTTAGATAAAATTTAATTTGGATAAAATTTATCGGATATTTTAGAGTTTAAATTAAGTATTTATTATTATCAGTGTTAAAAATTAAATTAAAAGAAAATGTTATTTTTTAACATAAATCATAATGCTTAAATGACATCATTTAAACATTATGTTTAACAGTAAATCCAATTGAATATTACAAATAATAAAAAAATAAAATTGATCTATAAATTAATATTTTAGAATTTAAATTATATAAATTGATAATAAATAATGATAAAAGAAAATTTAGATAAAATTTATCTAAAAACGAATATTTTAAAATTTAAATTATATAAATTGATAAAAAAATTTGAAATGCTAAATTACAGTGGAACGTAATTAATTTTTACGGTAAAACCGATTTTGATCCTCTCGTCCCAAGTCGAAAAAACAAGTAGAACTACCGAAAAGTATTCCCTTTTTTTTTTTTTTTTTAATTTAATACTTCCACAAGTAGGGCCACCTTATCAACACAATTATAACTTAGTCCTCCATGTTTGAAAACCAATGACTCGATCCCTTGACTCTTCTTATCTATTTGTCTTATTAAAGATTTATTGGTTTCTTTCTTGATTCCAAACATACCATTTAACAATTTAAGTTCTTATAGAACAACCTGCAAGTGACTCAATGGATCACCATGTAAATTTTTAAAAATAAGGGACTACAGTTACAAATTCATTCAAAAACAAGGGGCTAAATAAATAATTTACCAAAATATAACAGAGCATGAAATAAGAGCAGGTGCATGCGGGGAGCATTATTAACAACATTATATATATGCGTTTGATTTCATGCTATAAAAACCACAACATTAACATGAAATTGTTCAAAAAATACTTGCAGCAAAGATTTCCACTCTTCTTCTTCTAGAGGAAGACGAGGAAGAATATATATATATTTTTTTCAGAGATAAAGAGAGAAATGTACAAGACTAAGTTACAGGAGTTGTGCCATGGGAGGCAATTTGGTTTGCCAAGATACTCAGCCATGAAAGATGGACCTGATCACAACCCTCGATTCAAGGCTTGTGTTTCTGTCAATGGCCTCACTTTTGATTCTTCTGCTTCTTGCAAATCTTCAAAGGAAGCCCATAATGATGCTGCCAAGATTGCCTTCCTTCACTTCTCTTCTCCCCCACCTCCAAGTAATGAACTTCACCCTCATTCACTGACACATACTTGTAGAATTGAAAGGTTTTTTTTTTGGATTGCATTTTAGGTTTTGTTTATTTTGTGTATATGCTGTTTCTGTTCTTGTTCTGTTTGTTTTGATAGAAAGTTTTCTTTACTGACAGGTTTATGAGTTTCTTACAAAATAGATTTATGAAAGAACTTTTTCAGTGTCTAATTTTTCCTGCTTTTTGGTTCAAAATTTAAGATATCCATACATTTCACCCCAAAATTCATCATTTATGCTTCATCGAGGTACTTTGGTTCCTTGGAGACTTATGTCTGACTCCTTATTATCAGGTTCCTCCATGACTCCTGACCCTCTAGCTGTTGGACAAGAAACTAAGGAAACATCTCAGGAACTTAATGGTCATTCAAGTTTTTCGGCTCCTGAAAATGGTAAGAAATTCAGAATGAACTTGATCAATTCATATGAATTTGATAGATCTTTCCATGTGAATTTGCTCATGTTCTTGCGGTTAACGATTCTTTTTACAGATGCTTTAATCTCAGGTGGTGAGCCAAATGCTGGGGGAAAAAGTATAAAAGAAACAAGTCAAGGATCTGATATTCAATCCCTTACTTTGGGTGTCAAAGGTTGGAAGTGAGATATTTATGATCACACCATCTTTTTTCACACTCTTCTTAATTGCTTCATCTACGGACTTTATGATATATTCGGAACCATATATTCTGTTGTCAAAACTTCTATAAATTACTAACAGAAACCACCTTCATAAGGGCCACTTTCTTTGTCGAAAAGCTAATCTTGAACATCTTTCTGAAAACCTCTCAGCATTAGAATTTAGAGAACATGAAAACTGGTATAATGAAGAAGGAATCCTGTTATCTTGTGCACTGTAAAAAGAAGAGAGAAATTTTCCCGTCAGTTCTTCAAATTTTATAGCATTCCATTCCCACCCCAGAAAGTTTCCATGAAGTTTATAGTTTCCATAATCGATTATATTTTTATTTGCAGAAAGTAACAGCTGATTCTTGTTTTCAGATTTGCCTTTGAAGTACAAGAGCCACCTGCAGAACTATGCTCGACGGAAAAATTGCGATTTCCCAATGTACTCCAACACATGTGAGGGTCCCTCTCATGCTCCTTGCTTCAAGGCTACTGTCACAGTTGACGGACATACCTTTGAGAGCCCAGAGTTCTTCACTACTTTGAAGCAAGCTGAGCATGCAGCAGCAAAGGCAGCCTTAATGTCACTGTCAACCGATGGCTTTATTGAGGTAAGTTTCTTAATGATCCCTCAATTATACTTGCTCTATCTAATATTTTTTTGTAGTATGAGTGTAGCTAATATCAACTTAAGTTACATTTGTTCATTCTTTTGTGCTGTTCAGGAGGACTTTGGCTTTTACAAGAATGCCTTGCAGGAGTTAGCTCAGAGAGAAGATCTATCCATGCCAGTATATAAAATTATAAAATCTGGTGCACCTCACATGCCGACATTCTTTTCTTTTGTGGAAATGGAAGGAGAGAAATTTTATGGTAAAGCAGGAAAATCCAAGAAAGAGGCAGAGTTGAAAGCTGCAAAAGCTGCATATACTTTTCTGATGGAGCGTAAGTCGATTAATTTCTTTTTATTGAGGGTGCCTATCCCATTATTTTGGGCACCAGAAACTTTCGTCTTCTGGTTTTTATGAACATATAGCTGGAAGCTGTATTGCCTGCAAAAGCTGATGTTCATTACTGGAAAATCCATGGAGGTCTAACCGATCTCTAGTTTTATCTTCTCGTAGGTGCATTGAACAGGGCCGCAGAGTCAGATTCCCCAAATTTTGTACCAGATGAAACTCTCAAGTCTACTCCTGGCTTAGACATAACCAAAGCAGTCAATTTGCAACAGCACCTCAAACAAAATAGTCAACTGTTGTCATCCCCATTCATTGTTGATGAAGAACATTCTGCAGAAACTAAAGGCAACAACATATCACACAAATTTTGTTTGTTTTAATGTGATCTATGTTTTTAGTTTATACTTGCAAGTTCTTGACCTTCAATTACACAGTCGGACTTATAATTTTGGGATCATATTGCTTCTAACAGATGCAGTTCAAGAGGTAAATTTCGCTGATTCTAAATCAACCAATGCCAAAGTTGGGTCTGAGGATTCAATACTGTCACCTTCACCTGAAAAATCAACCATCGTTGAAGTGACTGGAAATCAGGAATCATCTGAATATGTTCCTACCTCATCCCCAGAAGGCCCATCTTCCTCTACTTGGACACATAACAGCAGTTGTGCTCCCACAATTTCTGACTCAAATGTGAGAAAGGCGACAAGACCAAGAAGCTACTTGCTTTGCAACAGGATCAGGGTGTATCCATGCTATCCAGACATTGCTTTTCCCAAAGGCGTCACTGTGATGCCAATTAGTGACAGCCAATGGGTGGCCGTGAGCTTGGAGTTCCCAATGGAACAAGGTCATTGATTTAATGCAATTGCTAGATCACTTTCTCTCCAGCATATCGCCTTTTAGTGAGTGCTGCCATAGAGGCATTACAATTTAATCAAATTTCCTTCCATGCTGAGAAAAAGACTAGTTAAAGACTTCATCTGAGCGTGACAGGAACTCAAAAGAAATAAAAAATGAGAGTTTTGGATTATATTCAAGCCATTGTCTTGCAAACTTTTAAAATACATTTCCATGTTGCTGGTATGATATGAATATGAATGGTCCAACACTTCACATTGCAATTGAAATAACAGATTATCCAATTCTACCTTTTCTTTACAAAAAAGGTCATTTATCTCCTTATATAATATTCTTAGATGCTAGAAAAATCTTAATAAGCTGAAGAAAACTGCAATTTCGGCTACATTTCCTTGAATTACAATCGCTAATTCTTCAAATTTTGACGTTTTATTCAACTTGTTTACCTTTCAAACATGTTCTGATGCCGTGCAGAATTTATTCATAAGAACACACTTGAAGAACAAAGACGCAGTGAGTTCTTGGATCCTCTAGTTCTCCGATTCTCCATGAGACCTCATAGCTTTTTGAACATAAAGCCCAAGCACAAGAACAAACAAACCAGCTGACACTACCAATGTTTTTGATATTCTCAGCTTCTTTTTCTTTGCTACCAAGCCACCACTACCATCATTTTCATGCTTTTCACTTGTTCCTGTGACCTTTCCTGCTTCAGGCCAGCTATCATCACTCTTCTGATCCTTCAAGTTAGTCTCAGTTGAAGTAGAAGTTGCTCCCCCATCCATATCTCCACTTGTTTTTCCGTCTGTTCCTGTAATTGGAGGTACTTCTTGAGTAGCTGAATCTTGTCCACTCTTTTGGTCTTCTGGGTTTTCATTTGCAGGCTCTCGAGGTTCTGCAGTTTCTGGAGTTGAGTTTGGATTATTTTCTGGTACCGGTTTGGTTGGACTGATTATCTTCTTGGGGTGTTTGATATAAAGTACTCCACCCTCAAACTTTGCACAGATTTGATTAACATCATAATCTGATGAAACAGTGAGCTCCTTGTTAAAACGGATCCATTTATTGTCTCCCTGATGGCTTTTTCCTGTGATCTTGAGTTTTTGACCACCTGTTGCTGCTTGGATCCTTAGTTGCTGCTTCGAAAAACCTGCAGAAATCAATATAAACATCCTATCACACATTTTTGCTGCTGTTTTGTTTTCTTTTTTATAGAAAAAAACCTTCTGCGTGGCCTTGCCAGGCACGAATAAAGCAAACTATCAGACCAAACACCGTCTAAAGCAAACAAATGACCACAAACAAGAACAAAAGACCAGAATTCTAAAACATTTGAAGGATCATGAAATGTCACCTTGCAAATGCACAAGTAGGGTGTCGAATCCAGCATCTTTCTCCCATTCCATTTTAGGATTAATATCTTCATAGACATGATCATTAACTTTGGCCAGTGGCTTGGTGCTATCCATCTAAGGCTTTCCAATGATTTGTATCTTTCAAGTGACAGTGAAAGGTTCCAAATCTGTTGGTTTTATACACAAGGTAAAGAAGACTTGTACTGTGATAGGAATTTTTTTTTCCCACATGTTTTCTTTGCATTCCATTGCTCCCTTTTTTTATTATTACATTAATTAATTGTTTCTTTTCATGTTGAAGCTTCTATGATTTTGCATCCTGAGTGAGGCAAGCCCTAATTTCTTTGTGAACTGCTTTACAGCCTTTTATTCCCTTATATTTCTTTTAACAAAAGCTTTACAGCCCATTTTGAAATATCGAATCTTTACAAAATACAAATGCTAGATCTCTTTCTTCCTAATGTGTCACCTTTTAGTGATTTCTTTCATATTTTAATTAATTTTTCTTTCATGCTAACAAAATGCATGACTTGGATGATTAAAGGCCCTATAATTGCTTTTAGAAGTTCTTTAGAACTCAAAAACACTGAAATTCAGAGTTGTAACTTTGAATTTATTATAAGTTATTGGCTAATTGGTTATAAAGTATTTTTTTTTCTAATTTGGGTTTTTAATTTTGTTTTTGTCTCTAATTAAGTCATTTCGTCTTATTGAGCAATCACATACCACATTGAACACACGCGATAGATACGTGAATCAATAAAATAACAAAACGTGTTGTGTTTAGAGTTTTTAGGATATATGTTGTTGTTTTAACAACTTCATGTGTCTCTCATACCATTTAAAATTGATCAATTGGATGAAAAAACTTACTTGCATGCATACCCAAAAAAGGTTGAGAATCTAAATAAATTAGGAATTTTTTTCCTTTTGACCAATAGTTCATGTTATTTTATAACAAATTAGCCCAAGTTATTATGCTAAAACTTTTCAAAAGATGCATTCTTGAGTGGAGTCTGGTATGAACATGATTAATCACATGCTTTTCAGCACCCAATCTTACAGGTTGGCCAATTTTGAACATAAGCTATTATGCTGCTCATTTTTGAAAAGATTTTTTTTCCTTAAAAAGGGTTATTCCTTCTCTTTATTTAATATTATTCTGTTCATATTTGCAGAAACTCTTCAATATTTTAGCCCTTTATTCAACATTGTACATTTGCAAACATGTTTTGAGGTGATGCACCCCTTATTCAAAGGTTTCCATTACAATTCTTAGTCTTGGATCCTCTAGTTTTCAGATTCTCCATTAGACTTGATAGCATTTTGAATATAAATCCCAAGTACCAGGAGCAATAAACCAGCAGCCACAGCCAAGTGTGTTGATTTTATTGCCTTCTTCATCTCTGCTACCAGACCTCCAAGAACCTGCTTATGATGTGCTAGTTTAACTTTACAACTACCACTAACAACAGCAGTTTCTTCTTCCTGGTGCATCTTTGCAGTCTCGTGGACAAAGTGCCCCTCATTTTCACTCTTTTCATCACTTTTGCTAGTGTTCTTTTCTGCTACCCCATTAACTTTTCCACTTGTTAGTTCATCAGTCTTGGTCCTCGGAGGAACTTCTTGATCAAACTGATCTTGTCCAGTCTTTTGATCTTGTGGATTTTCATTGGCAGGCTTTTGAGGCTCTGCGGTTTCGGTGGATACGTTTGCTTTATTTTCCTGCACCGGGTTGGCTGGACTTGTAATATTCTTGGGGTGTTTGACTTGAAGTATGCCACCCTCAAACTTTGCACTGATTTGAGTAGCATCATAATACCATGGAATAGGAAGCTCTATGTTGAAATGGCTTGATTTATTGTCACCATGAGAGCGTTCTCCCATCATCCTGAGTTTTCGAGTTGATGTCACCTGAACCTTCAGTTGTTGTTTCTTAAAACCTGCAGCATCAACACAAACAACCTTTTATTAGCAATTTTCCCATCTGCTGTTTCTTGGGTGGCCCTGCCAAGCCTAATTCCGGCAAACTGATAATTAATAAACGAGAGCTGTAAAAAGCAAAAAGAACTGGTGAATAAAATTCCAAGAACATTCGAAGCAATGAAATCTCACCTGGTATATACACAAGTAGGGTGTCGAATCCACTGTCTCGGACCCACTCCAATGTTGGATTATAATCTTCATAGGTGTGATCATTAGGTTGAGCAGCCATTGCCTTCGTACTATCCATCTTAGCCTTTCTAATTGATAGGTAACTTTCAAGTGAAAATGATAGCTCCCAAATTTCTTGGCTTTTTTTATACTTATGGCTAAAGAAGGAGTTATAATGCGATAGGAACTTTCTTTTTTTGCCATGTTTTCTTTGCTTTAAGTTATTCCTTTTCTCTTTGAAGCTTCTTTGGATTTGCCTGCAGAGGCTCTTTCGGCTCTGGAAACTGTAAAGGGCCTGGAGTATATATGCTTTGGATGTGTAGAGAGTTGGTAACCTCGTGCCTAAGGCAAAGGGGAAGTTCTTTGTTGAACAAGTAAGCTTCAGAATTTGAGGCTAAAGATTCTGACATGTCCAATATCAGATGATGAGAATAATAGTGGATAGAACTCAACTTATAGTTATGCTCTCTGTTCCCTCAAACCCACAACAGGAATAAAGAAAAACATCAGAAATTCATAGAAACATAGACTGAGGTCAATTTCAGAATCTTGTTGGACAGGCTCAAACTGTGATCAAGCAAAAATAATCAATTAAGGATCTGAACGAATATTTAGGATTACTCCATTTTACTCATGAACACTTTCATTCTTTACGAATACCCGGCCTCAAAATTTATGTCAGAACCATGCTGAAGATGCCTCCTTTATTGAACACCCTAGAATCTACTTCAAACAAATTTACCTTCACCTGTTTACAATTAAAAAACAGAAACCAGAAAATGAGCACGTCATGAAGGACTAATTAGAAGCCTAAACCAACTAATGTTTTTGTTTTTTCATCTTATCCCATTACATCAGGCTGTCTTCTTTCCTTTGGTTTTGCATTGACCACTACTTTATTGGAGCTCATGATTTTTGAACAGTTCTATTTCTGAAAGGTGCCTCCTTATACCCAACACTGCAATGGTTGATCCAATTTTATAGTTTTTAACAGTTTTAAAGTTGGTTTTTTTGTTCCAAACACTCTGACACGGTTATCTTGAGCACCTAAAAATCATCCAGTTCATGATTTGGAACAGTTATCTGCTTGCTTAATGCTTCTAATTTTCCAAACATCCTGGTGATTACCCTAAACATGCAGAGAATGTTATTACCTACGTTTTTTCAGGTCCTGATAGTGGAAAATTTCTGAGAGTGCCTCCTTGTTCCATGTACTGGACCATTTGCCCTTCACAATCCTTCCAATCCATGAAATTAGAGAAACGCTGATAGTGCAGCCTCTTTTATCCAAGATTTTGGAAAATTATTAATGGTGTTCATTGCCATTTCTAAACATGATCATGGTTGTTTGAAATATGATCGACATTGTTCAAAAACATGAATCATTAATGTTTTTTTTTTTTCTGAAGTGTGGTTAAAAGCATATGAATTAAGGAAACTTTGCAACAACTGTTGTATTATTTAAAATGGAAACATAGTTACAGTTGTTGTAGATTGATATACAGATGTGCATCAAAAGACTTAATTCTCAGATTTTTTGAAGAACCTGATTGCGTTCCTGCCATACATCCCAAGTACCACAACAGATAAAATAAGCAGAACCAGGTTCACCAATTTTCTTGGCTTCTTCATGTCCGTGGCAAAACCCTCAAAAGCCTTCTTGTAATTTACCATTCTGAGTTTCTCAGTTCCACTTAGGAGTCCTGTTGCTGCTTTATCTTTGTCCATCTTTGTACAATAAAGGGTAGAATCATCAAGATTTTCAGGTTCAGCACTTTCGCTTGTTGTGGCAATTCCCTTTGCTTCAGCTTTCCCATTATCACTGCTCCTCTCTTTCCATTCATATCTCGGTGACTGTTCCTCCTTCCTTGGTGTCTTTGGTGAAGCATTATCATTTGCATTTGCTACTCCTTCAATCTTGCTACCTCTTCCTTTCTCCATGCCAACCACTGGCTCCAACGTTTCCTGTGGTTGTTTTTCAGGCTTGGGAGCTGATTCTGAGGATGGCTGCACTTTTTCCTGTGGTGGCTTCTGATCAGGCTTTGATGCTTCCACTGGCGGCAGCTCTTGTTCCCTTGGCTCAGCAGCATCAGGAACAATTAGTTTAGGGTGCTTGACAGAAAGGATTCCCTTATCATATCTTGCAGTGATCTCATTAAGGTCATAATTTAATGAAATTGGAATCTCCTTTCGGAAACTGCTCCACTTATTCTCATTGAGTGGGCGTTCTCCGCTGATCCTTAGAACACGCGATGAGGTTACTTGAACTTTTAGCTGCTCTCTCTTGAAGCCTGCAGAGGAACCAGAAAGATGACAAGTGAAATGTTAGATTTGCTTTCCTAAGGAACTCTGTGTTAAAAAAAAAGGGTGAAATTCACCTCATGTTCTTGTATTGTATTACACGATATTGTCTATTTTAATCTTTTTATTCAATCACGGACAAAACAAACTCAATACTATTGAAATTTGGAACAAACCTGCCATTCCATTCAACGTGTGGTTAACAAAAATGGATGAAAGACTGGTTTGTTCTAACGTTCACTAGTACACGATTTGTTTTGCACCATAACGAGATAGAAAGATTAAAATAGACAATACTGGATAGTACAAGAATACGAAATGGATTTCACAGTCATGGTATTGAATGTAGTTCGGCTATGCCTACGTCTACATGCCAAAAGAGTAGGAAATTCATTTCAATCAGAATAATACAAGTTTGAAGAACCAATTTAAAAACTCATTTCCGAATTCTGTTCTTAATTACTCTTGAAATGGGAAATGAATAAAAAATTAAGAAGCACAGACCTGGTAAATAGACTCGCAGAGTGTCAGCTCCTGGCTCTTGTGCCCATTCCATTGATGGCTCAAAGACTTCATATTCATGTCCCGCAGGAGCATTATTCCTCGGCTTTGATTCCATTTTTGAGCCTTCGTTTGTTTGTTCTGATAAAAAACTTCTGATGAGTGGAGAAGAACTATGGATTTCTTGGTTTTTATGGACACCGGGAATAGAATTTATATGAGATTGTTTTGGTGATTTGAAGCCTTGTGTTTTGTGTTTATGTTTTGCTTTGGACAATGTTATTCTTTGTGTAGTTGGTATGAATTTGTAATAAATTATTCCTTCCAAATTGTTTCCATGGTTTCAAGTATGCTTTGTTTGGCAATATAGAATTGGTCACTTCATGCATAGGCCACCAAAAAAAAAAAAAAAACACTTTTTTCTTGAATAAGCTAAAAAATAAAATAAAATAAAATAAAATATTCTTGAATAAGCTAAAAAATAAGAGAGAAGAATGTATCGAATTATATTATATAAACTCATGACATGAGAGAAAAAACAAATATCTTATGGACTAAAAAAAATATCTAATTTTACTCTTTAAACTCTCCGGATTTCATTGAGAAATTAATAGCAAAACTTATAAAAATCCTCTAAATCCTTTTTTTTTTTTCTGCACTAATTTAGGAAACATAAATAACAGAGAAACGGTAGGAATTGGGAGGATTTTTACGGGTTTTTTTACGTCAATTTTTCAATGATACTCCAAAAAAGGATAAATTCAAAAAATCATATTGTTTAAAGGGCAAAATCAATTTTTTTTTTTTTTTAGTTCAGATCAGTATTTGGTTTTTGCTCAAGTTCAAGATAGCATTTTACAATTTAGCATAAAGATCTTGAAAAAAACAACTGACGAGAATTTTGACAAAAAAAAAAAACCATTTTAAAAATATTAGTTTTTATGTAAATAATCATACAATCTCCAACCAATTAACTACTCCTACTGCTACTACTAAATTAATTAATCTCTTTTGTTTTAAAAAATAATTGATTAGTCCTCCTTTTTTTAAAAACGTTTTTTTTGATAAATTAATCATTTTCATTCATTCCCAATTTATTTTGATTTTTTTTTAAATAATAATAAAAAAACATGAAAAGATTGATGAGAATGGATGATATTTTATGAAATAAATTAATATTCAATTAAGTGCGGTTGCCCATATTAAGGGAATAAAAAATATGTTTTAAAAGAAAAGAACTAATTACTCCGTCTTTTGAAAAAGAGGGACTAATTTATATTTTACTCCAAATCCAAAGTACCAAAAAATTCCATTTGTTGTAATTATACTGGACCGTGGGCCGAAGAGGTCCTCCATCCCAAAGGTCGTGGACTTAGATTGAAGCCCATTAATAAAATCTCAATTAATTTGGCACAGGATTTGGACTCTTCAAAATAATCAAAACTCTAGCCCAGCCCATCCTCATAGCTTTCTATCCATTTCTTAGTCTTTTTGAAAAAGAAAAACCAAAATAGAGGGAAGAACAAAAATAGAGAGAGAAGAACAAATTTAACAGTGCCATTTTCTTTTCGTTTGGATCTCGGCTATTTCAAAAAGAAAACGTATCAGCATGGACTGAGCCAGCGGCGGCAGCAGCAGCGGTGTCGGCGGAGGCGGAGATTTTAAGAGAGAGAGAGGGAGAGAGAGAGAGGACCAAAATGGCAGTCGACACGAATTTCTCTTCATTTTTCGAGAAATTAAAACTAGTAGAAGAAGATCCACTCATACTCCCTCCCAAAACCTGGGAATCAATCCCTTCCCAAAATGCCCCTACTTCTTCCTCCTATTTCCCTCCCCAACCACCAACTCCACTCCTCCATCACCAATCCTCTCCTTCCCTCTCTGTAAGTATCATTTTTTTCCTCCTTGTTTCTGATATTTCTCTAGAAATAATAAAATATCTGTCTTGTTTTTTAAATTTAGGAGGAAAGCCTGGTGAGATTAGCACTGAACGCACTGCAGGGTTTAGAATCGGCTCTTATCAGTATCGAAAAGCTCTCTGCTGTCTTCAATTCCCACCCGGCTGATCGAACTTACCATACAATTCCCAATCTATGGAACCGGTCTACCAGCACACTCGCGTTGGGGAAGTTTCTAACCTCCATTGGGCGGTCTGGTTTCTTAATTTTTCTTCTCCGTAAATTTGTAGATTATTTTAAGAATTTTAATTTCGAGGCACATTTGGACGCGGCCTCTGCGTATAGTTTAGTTAATCAGGCGTTTGGTGTTGCGGTAGGGAAGGTTTTAGAAGGGTATATGAGTGCGCTTGGTACGTTAAACGCTTCGATAGGTTTGAGGCGCTCATCGAAGAGTGGTGCTGTTGATCATGAGAATGGTAGAGTGTCGTGCTTTACGAGTGTGGTGCATTCTGAAGTTACATTGTTGGAGGTGTATTTGCATACGGAGGAATTGAGGACTCGGGTTGAAGCGCTCGGGAATGTATGTAATGTACAAAGCATAGCTCTTTGCTTCTCGGAGTCTTCGTTGGAAGAGTTGACTGCGAAAGCAATGTTGGAGTTTGCTGATTTTTATAGAGGAGGGGATCTTCTTACTTATTTGTATACGCAACTACAGGTCAGGTCATTAAAAATTTTTAGCCTTCGTGCAATGGTATTGTTTACACGTGATTGTTTATTGCAACGTAAGTTGTTTATTGTTTTGCACTTTTGCCAAAATCTGGTAAAGGTTTAAACTTTTTACCATTCTAGTACAAAATACATGGTGATTGTGAAATATGGTGAAGTCATTGCTCAAATGCTACCACTGTTGCGTCATCTTTGTGAATGGTGGTGCATTGATGGTTGCCTTCCTCTTGTTGTTGAACCATTAAAGTTTTATTTTGTTGTAAATTCTTCCTGATTGTTTCGGAGTTTTGGATTGCTTTTTGTTTCTTAAATTGTGAAAGCTTATTTTCGCATCATTACTTGTGGCTTTGCTAAAACAGTAGTTCTTACTAATACTTTTCTTTTAGGTTGCTGATCCTGCTCACAGTGCTCTGCTCAAGTTCCTTTTTCTTCGCTCATGTGAACCATATTGTGGATTCATAAGATCGTGGATATATGGGGCTGAGATTAGTGATCCTTACAAGGAGTTTATGGTAGAATATGCTGATAATCTACCTCCTCATCCCCACTGCAAAGGTGGCATCCCTATCGACTTTCAATTAGCAAGTATTCGGGTAATGTCTATCATCCAAAAAATGTATTAGGGGAATGCAGTTTAATTAATATTGCTACATTGAATTTGAAGATTCTATTGAGGTGCTGTAGAAGTAATCTTATCTGATTCATTGTGGAATCTGACTAGAAATCTGATGGACCATAAGTCATTAAAACAGAAAAAAAAAAAATGAAAATCTAAAGTAAGATCTTGATCCAATTACAAATTTTGGAAAAGTTAATTGGGAAACGATTTTAAGAAATAGTTTGCTTTTAGTATTTTGAGTTGGTGTTGATTCTCATAATGTGAATTTTCTCATTGATCTAGAAGGTCATTTGGGATTTAAAATAGTTAATTGAATTTAGGTCGAAGCTGGGTTCAGGCTGAAAATTTTGAGGTGTTTTACTCTGAATAATTTGTGTTGAGGTAGATTCTCATAATGTGGTTGGGAACTGTTTACTTAATGAGCAGGATGGGGTTGCTGTTCCTTGTTTTCTGAAGGACATTTTTATTCCAATTGTCAGAGCTGGTCAGCAGCTTCAAGTGCTAAAGAAATTGCTTGAATTATGTAATTATGTCGGCCCTGAAGAGTATACTTGTGAGGATTTGCTTCCCAGTTGGAGAGGATATATAAGCAATCATTTGTTTTCTGCATCTCCAATGACTTTCAGTAAAGGATATCTAGAAGCCATGGTAATTGCAAGGAACAATTATTACGACAACATGCTAGAAAAGATCAAAAATCTGTCATCGAAGTTGGAGTTTAGGCATCAGCAGGTAATAATTTTGTGTCGTTACTCAATTTCTTTATATATTTGCATTCTGCCATCATTGATGGTAGAAGATTGAAATTGGCTAGTTCGATACCCTTTCTCTTGCCTTTATATCTTGCTGTTTGCTGTATCGTGAAAATGCCAGTTTGATTGGCATTTGGGATGGGCTATTGGTATGACTTCAATTAATGGTGAAGAAAGTAAAAGATCGACATTGTTACTCGTATCTGGTAGAACCATGATCCTAATGTCTAGGCTATTCTTGGTTCCATCCTTTTATAAAATAAATATATTCACTGGTAGTCATATGCTTTTCAGTTTGATAGTTTTCTAGAGGGGGAAGATTCTGTCATGGTCAATAGGTGATTGTCATGCCTATATGCTCTTATGTAGGCTCTTTTTGCTGCCTTGCTTTTATGCCAATCATTTGAATAGGTGATTAATAAATTTCCATTTTTCAGGTAGTTCCACATGGTGCTATATCTATTGCCTTTGACAATGATGAAGGGAGTTCAAAGAATGCAGTTTCACATATGTTTGTTGACAGGTTGATTGTCCCTACAACAGCTGTTAAATATATGCAGTGTGTATATTTGTCTGTCATGCGCTTGAAATTCACTTAACCATGTCAGCATCTTGAGAGTGCCTTGAATGTGCTGTCAATGTCACAAGAGAGTGGCGATACCCTGTAATTTGTATTGCATTTATTTTGTCATATATCCTTCTTGCTTTGATCAGTCGTTGTTCTTTTATAATTTCATGTTATGGTCGCTGATTTTTGGTGTTTCTGTGCTTTTCAGGGCTGTTGATAACATCAGTTTTGATGACGCTTGTACAGATGACGAGTTCAATGTGTTGGGTACATCTGAAGATTCATCTTTAAGTGGGTCTGAAGAGCAAACTGAGGCTGAGCAGCTAATTGAGCAGGTTAATAGTTTGGTTCGAGATGAACAAAGATACTTATCTTCCTTGAGGTTTTCCATGAATAGCCCAATTGATACTGCATTGAAAAAGTCTACTCAAAGTGAAATGCCACTTGACATTGAAAGTGATTTACGTAAAAATAGTGAAGAAAATGATTTTGTTGGTCGTTTCGTTCATTTTTATGACAAGAAAAGAACTTCGAGTCATTTGTTTCTACCCCCTGATTCAGAGGAGTCAAATTCATCATGCATGTTTGATAATATAGATACTGTAACTGGTCAGTGCTGGCAGCCTGGCCTTCCAAAAAATTCTCTTTACAATGACGAATGGCGCAGCTTTTATAAGTGGTCAGATCATTGTGACTCTGCCCAAGAAGTGAGTAAAACAAATATGAGATTTTTGAAGGAAGGTCTGCCATATTTTACCAACGTGACTTCTACTAAAGATGTTTTAATAGACAAAGCCTTGGGTGATCAACTTGGAAACAAAAACTCTGCTTCAAGTTTATTTGCATTACAGCCATGGAAGATTAATTACCACTGTAATTTTCTCAGTAGAAACCCGATGTTGAGAAAAATACCTGCTTTCACCTGGTAACCACGCCCAGAGAGAAATGCAGCACAGCATATGGACAATCATTACCTTGCTTTGACTTTTCAACTGTTGAAGACCCTTGTAAGATATCTGTGGAAAAGTTTGCTGCCAGTTTCCTGCATGAATCTGGGTCTCAAGTTCCATTGCATTTGACTGCTCTAGCTACCAGTGGTAAGAGTCATGATAAAGGTAAACAATTCTGTGATGGAGAAGCTGTATTGATTGATAATGCCAGAGCATGTGTTAGTGACTCATCAGTACACTTGAAGGAACAAGACAAAGAAGCTGTTGTTTCAACAAATGGTAGTGGTGGGACTAGTTGGCAGAGCCTGCTTGGTAGTTTTAGTTACACTGAAAATGAAAGTGTTGGAGGTCACAGGGAGAGTTTGTCAGCCATGTTTGAGATTCCCCTTGATTTTGTCATTGACAAATGCTTGCTGCAGGAAATTTTGCTCCAGTATCCTTTTACAATTATTCCCTTTATTCAGTCATTAGTATAAATGAATGTGCACTAGATGGATTGCAATCTGATATTGTTTCATTTTTTAACCCCCAGCTGTTGAGCCCTATATTCTTTATTAACATGGTATCCCAACAACATATTTCATTTGTAAAGGACCATGCACCTTTTACATTAGGCTCTCACCATACTTTATCGTTGTCTTTTGGTTTTTTGTTTCTGCTGGGTGTAGATTTCTAGACATTTATTTATGAGGTTTGGTGTTTTTTTCTTTACTTTCATAAATGGGAAATCATAATTCCTTTACTTAGTAGCAATTGCTTGGTCCCATTGAAAAAGTTTTGATCTTGCTACCCGAGACTAGTTTGTATGACGAGAGCAGTCACTTCATGCAAAAAATGGTAAAGGGTAGGGCTTCTTAAATTCTCCCTCTTAGTAGGACTTGTTTTGAGGAGTTCATTTAAAATTTTTATAGAGCTCTTTGCTTCCCCTTTAGTTGAGCATGAAAGCATGAATTTGATGTTCGTCCATGGGTTTGGAAATCATGAGAGAAGCCTTTTAATAATCTTTTTGGGACCTTATCTAATTCAGAAACCAAATAAGTTCTTGAAACTGATAATTGATTTCTTGTAAGCATCTTAATGAAACTGAATAACATGGAAGTTCTCTGATGTTTGGAAGAATCAATGCATGCTTTAGAAAAGGTGTTGCTGATTTTCTCAGATCCTTTGACTTAGTATTTCCTTCTCATCTTTCTTCTTTCTTGTTTCTCAAAATTATATACCATACATATCCTTTCTGACTTCATGCTTAATATGGCACTTTTTGGAGAGAATTCAATTTTGAAGAAATAATTTTCTCTTAATGATGCTAGATATAAGTATGTCAGCAGGCTTGCTATTAAGCTGCTTGAAGAGGGTTTTGATTTGCAAGGACATTTACTGGCTTTGCGGCGGTATTACTTCATGGAATCAGCAGACTGGGCGGATTTGTTTATCATGTCCCTTTGGCATCATGTATTTCTGTCTGCTAATTACTTTGATGTGTTATCTATTACGGTAATTTAATTCAAATATCAGAGCTTCTTCTGATCTCTTCCTCCCTTTTTTACGTGAAACAACAGAAGTGGTGTGTTGCCGAGGCTGAGCAGAGAGTGACAGAAATTCAACGGTTCCTTGAGTTTTCAGTTCAGAGGTCATCATGTGAACAAGACCCTAATAAGGATCGTCTGTTTGTGTACATAAAAGGGAATGGCACAATGCCTATTTCAACATCTGCAATTGGTAATTTTTTTCGTCACAGTTTAAGTGCTAAGAGACTGACAAGTCAATTTAATTATGTATAGTTGTTTTCATTATTTTTTCCTTTCCAAAGAAGAGTTAATACATATTTATCCTGTACTTAAGCTAAGATGCGCCTACTTTGCACCATATGTGTGTAATCTGGAAGTCATTGGTACCTTAGTGCACCTTGAGTTTTAAAATAGACTGTTCTGAATATGATTTAGGCTTACTACTGTGAATTCCTTTTTTTATTATTATCTCAGCTTGTACTAATATAGACCTTGTCAATGATGGCAGGAGTGCATTCCTTCAATTTCTTGGGTTTGGGTTACCGAGTGGATTGGCCAGTTAGCATTGTTTTGACTCCCAGCGGATTGAAAATATATGCTGAAATATTCAGTTTTCTGATACTTGTGAAGCTTGCTGTTTTCTCTTTGACTGAAGTATGGCGTGCACTGAAGGTATTAATACCCAGATAGCGTCTTAGTTTGTCATATAGATTAGTAGGATGCTTCATTTTTCTATGCATGGACTTCTTGGTGGGTTTTGCATTCTTTTTGAAAGACAGAGGATGAATTGGTATTCTAAGTTAGACAGGACATGTCTAACAGTTGGCTATCAACTGCAACAAAACCTGTGGAGTTTTTACCTGGAGAATCAGAGACTGATAATCTTGCATAAACTGCAACTACTTTTAAGGATTGCTTAGAAATGAATTTGTGATGATCCAGTTATAATTGAACTACTGTTACACGATATTTATCTTCTTTTTGTTACACTGTTCTCAGAGTTTCTGAGCTGCATGACTGCTAGTCTGTATGGTCCTTTTACGTAGTTAATTCTACTTTTTTTTGCGAGAACACAGCTTTTAACCATCACTTCAAACATGTAAATTTCAAGAAGGTTGATAAAATTATCAATACAAGGATCAGATATTAAATCAGTCTCTTGGAATCAGATAGTAAATCAGTCTCTTGGAGTTTGATTTTGAATTATAGAAGCTAATGGAACTTAATTGGCATTGTTTTGTATCACTGTACTTATGTTTTACAGGATATGATGCACTTGGTTTCTCTAAAACATGATTCTGCAATACAAGAATGCAAAGTTCGCCATTTTAACATGTTGATAAAGTTGAGGTACTCAGAACTCTTCTTTCTTATGTAATTTTTGTGACATTTATTTCCTTGTGATGTCATATGGTTCTGTTTACATAATTAATAATAATATCACTGTCTTCCAGTATATAAGCTTTTGCTTTAATTGTTAATTATATGATGATGAAAATGATGGGTGCTTGAAAAGTTTTTAGAGCGCATGGTTTTGTGAAAGTTGCATGAAATGTCAAAATGCTGTGTATAAGTCAAAACTTTTACTGTTTTACCATGGTCTTTTTAGGATGCTCCATTTTTAATTTGAAGGTAGTTTTACATCAAGCCTGAAGTTTTATACAAACAAGCTAGTATATTTACTTCTCTGTTCAATGACAGGCACCAAGTCAATCATTTTATATCTTCATTGCAACAGTATGTGCAGTCACAGTTATCTCATGTGTCATGGTGCAAGTTTCTTCACTCCCTAAAGCATAAGGTTTGAAGCAACTTGCCTTAACTTTTTATTTGCTTCAGTCCATGGTATATTTCTTTGGCTACACTAGTATGTGTGCTAATATATATATATATATATATTTAATTCTGCATGCTTTTCCTAGTGATTGAAGGTATGTTTTACCGCTGAAAAAGAATTTGGAAAGCAATTTAGTGCTATTTCTAATTTCTAATTTTCTATTGGGCTTTGATGCATTATATTTTGGTTTTAACTCTCTGCACTTGTCCTTTACCGTGATGTGGCATATCTGTATTATGATACTTATCAAACTTATTCAATGTGGAAAATTTGAAATCAAAATGAAAAATCAGTTTTTCCTAGAACGGGGAAAAGAAGAAACATGTTCTAATCGATTTTCAGTGAGTTACAGTGACTTCATACACAGTATTTACAAATTTGTTTATTATCTATGCTGGACTAGAATTTATTGATTTTCAATAAGAAATCCACAGTGATACAGACAGAGTATTCACAACCATGATCGAATTTGCTCTAATATTATGCAAATTTGTGATGTTATTATTTTTCTTATGAGAGTCTATGGAAAAAATAAAATGCAGTTGATGGAGATATGCTGATTCTTACTGCCTTCATTTTTCTCTTTTTGTTTTTCTTTTAATGATATAAGGAATCGAATCTATGATAGTTTACAATACTTATGTTCTCTAGTTTCTCACTTGGTCATTCTTGAACTTTGTTGTTTTTTAGGTCAAAGACATCATGGATCTGGAACCAGTGCACATGGCATATTTAACTGATTCACTACACATGTAAGTTGAGAGATCTTTTCTTGTTTGAAATTCGATCTGTACTCTATGAACATATGGAAAAAAAGTGTTTTTTATTATTAATCTAACTTTTCATGCTTGTTGTTTTATTCCTTTCTTTCTTGTATATTATAAAAGAAAATAAATTAGCATCCCCTGCACAATGAACAACGAGATCTCTAGTATGACGTAATTGCCTCCAAAATCTTTGGTTCAAGTAATGATGGTGTATGTCTTGAACTCAACCAGCCATTCCATCTCCATGACAATGCAATTTTTTTTTCCCAATAACAAATTTTTGTTTCTTATACAGTTGTTTCAATATATAACAGAATTTAATGGGGGAAAGGGAGTGGAGATTTGGAGTCTCGGTCATTTAATTATTTAACCTAATGGTGCATGTGCATGTACCAGCATGCTAGGAATGGCTGATGGTTATATTCCTTCCACAACCACTTATCAAGATATTCTTGTCAGACTGAGAGATACATGTAGCTGAACCCAGAGGGGCATGCTGCACTTGAATTGAGTTGTATCATTTTTGTCATCTTCAAATCACATTCAACACCACATTTTTATTTGATCATGTCTTAGCGACAGCTTCCTTCGATAAACAATGTTTAAAACTTTGCATCTTTTCTTCAAAATGCAATTAATCATTTGTTAGGTAGTTGTTGGACTGGGAAACGTGAATTTTCTCAAATTTTATAACTGATTAACTCGTGGTTGATAATGTTATACCTCCTGCATACCTTGTGTGGCATCTATACCTACGCATACCTTGTGTGCCATTAGATGCTGGCATCTATCAAAAACAAAGGGGGAAAAAAAAACAAAGAAGAGATTATCAGTTAACAGTGACTCTGAACTTTGCAGATGTTTTCTCTCTAACGAAACACGGTCTGTAGCCAACATTATTGAAAGCATTTTGCAATGTGCCTTTGACTTTTGGTCTTGTTTTACTGGCGGCATGTGGGATATGGGACTGGATCAAGGAGACATGTTGGGTAAACTTTCTAGAATCAATATATCCCAGGTGACTTTTTTGCACCCTATCTCCAATATGTTGCCTTTACAACTTAAAAGCTGCATTTGCATGCAGTATTGGCATGATGAAAGCTTATGTGAATATGGAATATTCTTAAGAGTCAGTTCTGACAGTCTACCAAATATCAAATATTGAGACAACGTATGTGCTTAATTGACCAGTATGAATTGACTTTTAGTTGTTGGACAATGATGGATTTTGCTGTACGCATGTTGAAATACTTTGGATCATGAATTCCAACCTTTAGTACTTTCAAAAAGAAATATACTATAAAACTACCAAAAGTTGAAGAAAATCACTTTTTGTCTAGAAAGTTTATTGGCATGTACAAGAAAAGAAAGGCCGCAAGGATCGTTATTTTGAGCTTGTGGATGGAATAATTCATCCATTCACATTTCAGTTTCATATGGCAAGTAATTTATCTTACCATCTTAGTTTGAAATGGAGTTCCGTAAAGCATGTTAATGCACAAAGTCTCGTTATGGCTTATGTGCTTCAATTATGACTGCCTGTAATCTGCAGTTACACTTCTCACTTGCTCAGAATTTCCCAAGCATCATATTTGTTATTTGCTGGTTAAATATTATTTGTCCGTATATTTTTGCATTAGTTTTCTAGTTTCACAGCTCTCTGAAATGTTTTGAGAAATATTTGTAGACTGCATGTAAGCCTCACTGGTGCATCATTTCTGCAGGTGCTTGCCATAAAGCAAAAATTTGACAAAAATTTGAAACAATTGCATTTATGCTATCTCAAGTCGCCAAAGCACGGAGAGTTTGGGTTATCCTGTTTCTGGGGATTTCTCAACTACAACAAATACTACTCAGATGTTGGTAATGAAATGTACCTCTATGCCTTATGAGCTTAAAGCTCTATGACCTGCCTATCATGCTGAACAGTGTGGATAGATACCAATGCGCAAAGAGAGAATCCAATCAAGTTCCACAACAGGTTGGTGTCGCCAAATGCCAGCACAGTTGCTGAGATCTTCTTAATGGTATTACCTAACACTTACTCCTTCGGCCTTTGTCCATTCGAGGTGGAAGCTTCCTCTTCTTTTAAGGTGCGATGCGGAGTTTTTTACTTTTTTAATTTTCCTTTTAGGGAAGAAATGTAGTTGTGGTGCTGAGTTGTAAAATCAATTTCCATGATGTGGTGTTTTAACTTTCTAAAGATTAGGTTGAGATTGCTGGTTCCTTTAGCCATTTTTGCGGCATGTATTTGTGCAAGGGAAAGGAATTGTGCGATAACGAGACTAGAAAAGCTGTATTTGTATGGTAGCGTAGAAATTCTTGTATGTACATTCTCTATATAATGTAAATGTTTACAGCCTCCCTGTCAAATTCATGTAAACCAGAACGATGCTGTGGGTTCTGTAAAGTTTCACACGTTCAAAACATTTTGGCATATAAATAAAGAAAAAAGTCAATACATTTTTTTCTAATAAGTAACATATAATTTCAATGTATAGGAGTTTGGAAGGAAAAGATGAGTGGTGGTTTGCTGCTTTTTAGGCATTTTTCTACAAGAACTAAGAGAAAATGTTTTTGGTAAAATATTAAAAAAGTTATTTAAATAATTCAAGTTATATTCTTTTTCAGAGAAAATAAATTGTTAAAGATATATAAATAAATAAATAAAATAAAATTTAATGCAATCTCTTTTTGTCGACCAGTGGCTAACTTGCAAATTTTTGGGTAGGAAAATACAATAACCTTTGAGGTTTAAGTCAATGAAGATGATTAAATGGATAAAAACGAAGCTGAGGAGGCACAAAATGGTTCGACACCAAACTAGTGCTGATCGCTCTGGTGGAGAGCACCACCACAAGGACAAGCAAGCTGAAGGTGAGCAAACGGTGCAAGAATTGAATAGCCTAAAGGACCAGGTGGGCCGGTGGCCATAGCTTGGAAAGATGTGGAAATACAACAGTTTTAGGGACAGCTTTAGCTAAGAGATGTGGAAATTAAGAGGCTTAAAAAGATCATTGACTTTTATAAGAATGCAAAAATCTAGAGTTTTAAGAAGATCAATCATATCAGACGCTAATGATGCTTGTAAGGATCTTCACAAGTGCTGAAAATTTTGAAAAGAAGTGCAGAGAAGAAGACATCATTGGCCAGTGGAATCCATTGATGGTTAATTATAATTTAGTTGAAAAGTAATTTCTTAGTTTTGAAGGTGGTTTTTCGAATTATTTATTTTTTAAAATATTTTAGGTGTTGTTTGGAATCGGGAATAGAATCGTGGGAATGAGAATAAAAATTTTATTTCCACATTGTTGTTGTTTGGTTAAAAGGCATGAAGTGAGAATGAGAATGAAGAGTGCGAATGAGAATGAAAATTTATACACAACTTCATTCCCACATAAGATGTATGAATAAAAATAAAGAATGAGAATGAATTTTTTTTCAAAATAATAATATATTTTATTAATTTATTGTTTATTAACTATTTTTATCATCGCTATCACCACCACCACCACCACCACCACGACTAGAACCACCACTTGTCATAACCAACACCATTATTTTTATTATTTTTACAATCAATATAGTTTGATAAATTTATTTTTTTAATCATTATTTTTATTTATATAAAAAATCAAATATTAAAAAATTTAAATTGCATTCCGATTCCTCATTAGTATTTTAAGTATAATATGAGAATACAAATGTCATTCGATTCCTTAATTTTCATTTCGATTCCCGCATTTTTATTTTCACCACTCTATTATTGATTACTAAACGAAGCACTTTAAGGATTTTGTGTACGGGGTTTGGAAGGATCCAAAAAAATTAAAAAAAGAAAAAAAGAGAAAAAAGGGGGCATGCCATTACATTTCATGAGTAAAAATGCTAGCAACAAACAATGAACGACAATTAAGAAACACTCATTCACATAAAATACAATCTTGTCACAACTTTAAATTTTTGTGAGCTTTTTTTTTTTTTTTTGCCCATCAAAAAGTCTATGAGTCTTGGATTGCACAATAAAATAGTTTTTTTTATTATAGGATTATCAAATAAAGTAAAATTACTAAAACTTGAATATTATTTTATTGAAAAAAACTATTGAATACACCGCCATTAGAATAAGTATGCTTGTATATTACGAGCTATATAATTTTTATTAGAACAAAACTTGACCTTCATGATAAAATTAATTAGAAACCTAATCCTTGTAGTATCCTACCCAAGAAAAAAAAATTATTCTAATTCACCCCATAGCTCTCTCGTAGCTCTCCTCCGTTTCTTATTTCAAACATTGATAGGAAAAAAGAAACATCTTTTCCCATGCATGCTTCATGACGTGCTATTAACTAGAACTTGGCACTATTTTCGCAGGACTTGGTGCTGATAATATTGAAGCGCAGCGTTCCTTAATCAACAATGGAGGCAAGAAAGGATCAAAACTAAATCCTTTAGGCTTGCACTTTTCTTCAACTATAGCAAATGCACTGCAACATTTAGGGCCAATTAATAAGTCCTTTTGGGAGGTTAGCAACAAGGATGCAACCTCTTGTAAGCAACTATCTATTTCGGTTTTGAGAGTTGCCAAACAATCTTGAATTTCTTGAGAATTTCTGCCCAAAAATGGTGTTTGAGATGTTTCTAGACTTGAGGCAACCACCATGCACCCACAAGTTAGTACGAATATAATTAAATATACCATAATGGCTCGAACCATCTTGACCGAAGATGTTTGTTAACGAGTCAAGTGGGACGGAACTTAGAGATAGAAATGATAGCATTTTATAGGGCCATACAAGTTATAACGCTCTTATAAATTAATTATGGTTTAATTTACTTCTTGTAAAACCGATTATGCATGAAATTATTAATTACTTATATTAAATACAAGAAATTAACTCTCACTATATTAAAAGAATTGTTGATATCAAGAGGTAATGAAAAATGTCCAATTTCACAAACTAACATTTTTTCCCATTTTAATACTAACTTTAGGAAAATTAATTAATTTATTTAAAATTCGAATCCTTTTACTATGATATCATACTTACCCTTATGGTATTTTTTTCTCTACCTTATGAGAGAGCCTAGCTAGGCATAAGCAAAGCGAAAATGCATGGAAACAAACAAAACAAGTTGCCATCTTTACAGTAATACATATAATTATTTATATTAAGTAGATTACAAGAAAATAGATTAGAAAATTAAGGGAAAAAAAACCATAATATAGATTTATTTAGATCATCAGCACAAATTGATTAATGTCTTGTTGTCATATAAAGATTATAAGTCCAGATGTCACACCACTCAAATGAAAGCGTAACTAAAAAATATTAAAGAAGAAAAAAGATAAGAGAAAGAAGACGTTAGGGTTTGTACAGAAGAGAAAGACAAAGCAGTTAGGGTTTGGATTTTTCATCTTGGTTTAAATCTGAGAAAAGATTAAAAAAAGACTTCGTGGTGGGAAAAAAGAATATTGGCAGACAAATCTGATGTCATACGCTATGTAACATGTCGGCATCTGGAGCACCATATATGCACCGAATGCATAGATAAGACGTCAAATGATGGTCGTGTCGTGCTAATCCCACCCCACTTCCACATGGTATTCACACACACATCACTTTTCCTTAAATTCATCAAACACTTGTACAATTATATAACACTTGTACAATTATATTCTTATCTTCAATTCTCTATCAATTGCAAGATAGAACAAAATTAAATTGATATTATTTTTTTTAAAAAATAAAAATATCTTCGGATTAGTTTTTATATATTTTAATATTTTTTTATTTCTAAAAGAAGTTGAAAAAAACTTTTCAATACATAATTTCGAATATTCTGAAAAATATTCAACGATACTGATCATAAAAATCAAATCATGAATCTAATTTATAAATAGATATTGGTTTATATTAGCACTTTTAAAATAAATAATTTATAATGTAATCTTATAATTTTACAATTTGAACCCTCCCATGTTCATTAGCATCTTAATAATTATCCTAATCGTAGTTGCTACCAAATCATTCTCTTGACAATTTACCTCCATTGCTTTAGACTACAGAGCCTCCGTTAGGATGATTATTCGGGTTTTCATTTAATTTTTAATAATTCTGATTCCGTTTTTAACTAATAAAATTAAAAAAATATCAAAAATCGAACCTGAACCAAATGATTATTTCTTTTTTCGGTTAAAAAAATTTAGTTTTGGATTTCAATTTTTTCTATTTAAACAATTTTTTTGAATTTTTTATTTTTTAAAAAATATAATATGAATAGATAAAAAATACCATATATATATATAATTTAAACTTGATCAAAAATTTCAAAACTTGAACCGAATTGAGCAAAAAAGTTTTAAAAAAATTGATTATCTTAGTTAAAAACCAAATTAAAATTAATATTTCAATTCGAGTGGATTTGATTTTTCAATTTAAACCAAATAATCCTTACCACCAGCCTCCAGTTGCTTCTGGTTCCGCCCAATCTCTCTAGCTATCACCTTTTTGTATTATTTTATCCTAGAAAACAAGTTCAGTGTATCCAAGTAGATCTTACCGTGTCACAAGAAACTAACTAATTCTTAGCCCAAAACCATAAGTTATTCCTTTTATTGTCATGGAAAAAGACGTTTTTTTTGTCTCTTCTGCTCATCACACTCCCACAAAATTCACTTTAACGGTAAATGATCTATTTTGAAACGTGGTTGGCAACATATTTACACTCAATCTAACCTGTATTCGAAATGTGTGGATCCGAGTTGTTTGTTACTAATGGAGCGTTTTTCTTTTGACTATTGTTTATTAGGATTTGACTACTGTTTGTCCTAGTAAAAAACAGTGAGTTAGTAAGCTAGCTTATTATGTACTCGAAGTCTTTTATGTGCCTACCTGACAAACTGACACAGACATTGCAAAAATAGTCACAGAAATGGAAGAGAAGCAGAGAGAAAGAGAAAGGAAAAGTCTGGTTTTTGCTGTTAATGGACAAAGGTTTGAGCTTTCAAGTGTGGACCCTTCAATGACTTTGCTTGAATTCTTGCGCACTCAGACCTCTTTCAAGAGTGTCAAGCTTGGTTGTGGTGAAGGTATCATCTTTCTTGCTGTTTCTTTACCCTTAATAGTACTTCTTGTCCTGCATTGTTAACAGATTTAATAAGTGAGGCACTTTTGGGTTTCAATCTGGGTTTTTGACATCATGTTTTGCCTATATGAATGTGAAATTTTGTTACTTTGAATGCTGGATTATATTATAGTAACGTTCACTTTGTTCCTTGATTTTTAAATGCTAGTGTTTGATGATTTTGCTTGGAATATGAGCTGTTTATACTTTTGAGGAAATGGGTTTGCTTGTTAGTTTATTTGTAGTTGAAAAGATTTTCTCAATGGGTTGATTCATTTTTCAGAGTAGGACCATGGTTTTTTTTGATATTTTTCTGTTTCATTAGTCTTGTCATGGTGGATTCATGTTTGTTTGCTGAGAGAACATAGAGAGAGAATACTAAAATCTCATGTCTTGCACTATTATCACTATATAAGACTTGACCACAGCCTAAATTTAGTACACTTAACTATCTGGATTTTTTCAAGTTTGGTTGTCATGTGAGTGCATACAAAGTTTGGAACTTTGTTTTCAGCATGCTTGTTGCTTTAGCATATCACTTCTGAGAGGAAAGCAAAGCTTCTCATTCATAGGGAATCCTGTGATAATTGTGATTGAGAAGGAGATTTGCATTTCCTGGGTTCGTAGTTCATCTGCAGGTTTACTTCTTGAGTTTTCTTATGTTGTAATTGCTGTATCGTTCATATTCTTGTTTCTGATTTGGAGCTACTTCATGCTTTATTCTTTAAGTACATAAGTCATTCACATTCTCCTTAAAAGATGGGAGGGGGAAAAAATACAAACTATTATGCCTTTTAGATCTGACATGCCATAAATTTCAAGTTCAATCACTTCTTGCAAGTCTGCTTGAGTTTTCATGGCAATCAAATGGAGGGCAAAGAAGGCTCTGTTAGTTTATGTCAGAACAAGATTACTTGAGCGAAATGAAAGCATTGAAAATTCAAATGGTTTCTCAATATGATTTCAAATTTATGATTTTTAGGTGGTTGTGGTGCTTGTGTTGTTCTACTCTCCAAGTATGATCCTGTGATTGATCAAGTTGAAGATCTTACAGTAAGCTCATGTCTTACACTGCTTTGCAGTGTAAATGGATGCACAATTACAACAAGTGAAGGCCTTGGAAATAGCAAAGATGGGTTCCACTCAATTCACCAAAGGTTCACTGGCTTCCATGCTTCTCAATGTGGCTTTTGTACTCCTGGAATGTGCATTTCTCTCTTTGGAGCCCTCGTTAATGCTGAAAAGACAGATCGCCCAGAACCTTCTCCAGGATTCTCCAAGTTGACAGCCATTGAGGCTGAAAAGGCTATTGCAGGAAATCTTTGTCGCTGCACTGGGTATCGATCCATTGCAGATGCATGCAAAAGTTTTGCAGCTGATGTTGATATGGAGGATTTGGGATTTAATTGTTTCTGGAAGAAGGGAGAAAGTATGGATTTAAAGATAAGTAGGTTACCTTCGTATAACCATAATAATCAGACTCGTATTGTCCCTGAATTTTTGAAAAGTGAAATCAGATCTTCCTTTCTTTTGGATTCTCAAAAGTCCTTTTGGTGCAATCCTGCCAGTGTTAAGGAGCTTCAGAGCTTATTAAAAGCTGTTAAAGCCAACAACGGAACCAGGATCAAACTAGTGGTTGGTAACACAGCTATGAGTTATTATAAGGATCTAGAACACTACGACAGATACATCAATCTCAGCTATGTTCCTGAGCTCTCAATTATTAGGAAAGATCACACAGGGATTGAAATTGGAGCAACTGTTACTATTTCTAAAGCTGTTGAAGCTTTGAAGAAAGAGAGTAATGGTGAATTTCTAACAGAAAGTGAGATGGTGTTCAAAAAAATTGCCATCCATATGGAAAAGATAGCCACTCAATTTGTTCGAAATACAGGTAGCGTGGGGGGAAATTTGGTGATGGCCCAGAAGAAACATTTTCCTTCAGATATTGCCACAATACTTCTTGCAGCTGGTTCATTTGTGAATATAATAACCAATACCATGCATGAAAAGCTTTCCTTGGAGGAGTTTCTGGAAAGGCCTCCATTGGATTCGGAAAGTGTACTTGCAAGTGTTAAAATCCCATACTGGGAACCAATTAAGAACGAATCTTCTGAAAAGGATTGTAACTTGCTCTTTGAAACATATCGAGCTGCATCCCGACCTCTTGGGAATGATTTGCCCTATTTAAATGCTGCTTTTTTGGCTGAAGTTTGTTGCTGGAAATCTTCTGGGGTAATTTTTCTGAACAAATGTGTGTTGGCTTTTGGTGCCTATGGAACCAAATATTCAATTAGAGCAAGGAAAGTTGAGGAATTTTTAACAGGGAAAACATTAACTCTTGATGTTCTGTATGACAGTATCAAATTAGTTGCAGCCTCTGTGGTACCTGAAGATGGCACAACAAGTCCTGCATATAGGTCAAGCTTGGCTGTTGGTTTTCTATTTGACTTTCTTGGGCCCTTAGTAGATAATGATACCAAAATTTCTACCCATTGGTTGGATGACTACGGCAGTGCTTCAATGTTCACTGCTGACCAAATAAAACAGAAATACCACCAGCTTGATCCTGTGCAAGTCCCAACTTTGCTTTCTTCATCAACACACGTGATCCCAGAAACCAAGGAGTATCATCCTGTTGGTGAGCCTGTGAAAAAATCCGAAGCTGCCCTTCAAGCTTCTGGTTTGTATTTTCATTTCTATCTCCCTGCCAGAAAACATTTTAAAATCGTGAAATTGTTTGTGTTGGTTTTGATTTACTTCATATTTAAACATCTGCATTGATTTCTAGCTGCAAGTTCTGAAGAGAAAAGCTACAAAACTTACTCATCCTGTCAATTCTTCAGGTGAGGCTATTTATGTGGATGACATTCCCTCTCCAATAAATTGTCTATATGGAGCATTCGTTTATAGCACAAAGCCTTTTGCTAAGGTCAAGGGTATAGAATTCAAGTCTAAGTCACTACCAGATGGGGTTGCAACGCTTATCTCTTTCAAAGATATTCCCAAAGGAGGGGAAAACATAGGTTCTAGAACCATTTTTGGTGCTGAAACTTTGTTTGCTGATGAGATTACTCGGTATGCTGGAGAGCGTCTTGCTTTAGTGGTAATCTGTATTCCATTATTCTTCTTGAGCAACATCTAGCTTAGTTATGTTGATTGTAAAAGTTGTTGTTATGGAGGCCTTATTCAAGTATGCGATTGGATGGGGGCTTTTTGTGCCTGATCAGGTCTATAAATTCACTTTGATAGGTTGCAGATACACAGAAACATGCAGATGTGGCATCAAGCCTAGTCACTGTTGATTATGAAATGGAAAATCTAGAACCACCCATTTTGACAGTGGAAGAAGCTGTTAAGAGATCTAGCTTTTTTGAGGTCCCTCCTTTCTTCTACCCCAAACATGTTGGCGATATATCAAAAGGAATGGCGAAAGCTGATCACAAGATTCTCTCTGCTAAGGTAGGTAGGGGGAGGAAAGAAAATATCCTCTTTTAAGAAATAAACACAACCTAAAAAGTACACTTACTCAGTTTCTTTCTAGTATAATCTTTCAACTATTAAGATATATTTTCATTTCCAATTTTGTACTGAATTATGATGTCAGATTAACCTTGGATCACAATATTATTTCTATATGGAGAATCAAAGTGCTCTTGCTGTGCCTGATGAAGACAACTGCTTGGTGATTTACAGTTCGAGTCAATGCCCTGAGTTTTCACATGGTACGATAGCAAGATGTCTTGGTCTTCCTGAGCATAATGTACGTGTAATTACAAGGAGGGTTGGAGGAGGCTTTGGCGGAAAGGCCATAAAATCCATGCCTGTGAGTAACTTTCTATATACTCTATATTCTAGTGCAAATAAGTTTTAGCTACAAGTAAGAGGGTGTGTTTGTGGATCTTTTTATCATGTTGTTATGTTTTGAGACAATTTATACTGAGTTCTTAGGGCACTCATATTTCTGCCATTTCAACCCATATTATTTCCCGTACAATTTTCCTCTTTGCCACTACAATATGAATTTAATCTCATTTCTACACTATAGAATTCATAGATTGTAACGGACATGGTGAAACACTAAGCCAACTCTAGCGATCCTCTCATCCTCATGGCTACCTCAACCTTCTATAAGTACACTCTGCGCTTATCCAGCCCATTTTTGCATTTATACGCATCAATCTCATTAATGTAAGAGTTGATGAATGACATGAATTCTTTGTTCTTGATATTTTATACTTACCTCTCTCTCACACACACCCATTCACCACACACGTTTGGACCTGTTAAAGTTCTTCATTGATGTGTGGTCCTCAGCATTATTTAATGAGTGATATAATTACCCACTTCTTTCTGTTAGCTACTGGTGCATACTTACAACATGGTGATGTTTTAGGTTGCAACAGCATGTGCCCTTGCAGCACACAATTTACGGCGCCCTGTCAGGATGTATCTCAATCGCAAGACTGACATGATAATGGCGGGAGGGAGGCACCCCATGGAAATAACTTACAGTGTAGGATTCAAATCTAGCGGGAAAATCACAGGCTTACAGCTTGATATTCTAATTAATGCTGGGATATCTCCAGATATAAGTCCAGCGATGCCACACAACATGATGGGTGCCCTTAAAAAGTATGACTGGGGTGCTTTATCTTTTGATATAAAGATATGCAAAACACACCATTCAAGTAAATCGGCAATGCGGGGTCCTGGGGAGACACAAGCATCATTTATTGCAGAAGCTGTAATAGAACATGTAGCCTCTACCCTTTCCATGAATGTCGATTCTGTGAGAAGCATAAATCTCCACACATATGATAGCCTTAAAATGTTCTATGTCGTATCTTCAGGTGAAGCTCTTGAGTATTCTTTAACTTCAATGTGGGATAAGATAGCCATGTCTTCAAACTTGAGTCAAAGGACTGAAGTGATAAAAGAGTTTAATAGGTGTAATGTGTGGCAGAAAAGAGGCATTTCTCGAGTGCCTGTTGTGCATGAGGTGCTAGTGAGACCGACTCCTGGGAAAGTAGGCATTCTAGGTGATGGGTCTGTTGTTGTTGAAGTTGGCGGAATAGAGTTGGGCCAGGGGCTCTGGACAAAGGTAAAACAGATGGCTGCATTTGCTCTGAGTGCAATCAAATGTGATGGAGGTGGAGAACTATTGAAGAAAATACGGGTGATACAATCTGATACATTGAGTTTAATTCAAGGAGGGTTTACCTCTGGTAGCACTACATCTGAATCAAGCTGTGAAGCAGTTAGACTTTGCTGTAACACCTTGGTTGAGAGACTAACACCTCTAAAAGAAAGTTTGCAGGTGCAGATGGGTTGTGTAAGATGGGAGACACTCATTTCTCAGGTAGCTATCCATGCTTCTCAGACATTATACATGACATCTTTTTTTAACTTCTGCCTCAGGACTGGCACTTGAAAACCTCAAGCAGTGAATGTGGTTTTATTTTCTTTTCATTGTTTCTTTGAACATAGAGAATTTTGTTATCTAAACTTATCCCTTGAGAATTAATAATCTCCAAGTTATGTAGTTGCTCCCTTTAGTGAGAAGAAAGGTTTTAGTGAACTAATTTTTTATGAGACATGATATTGAAATTATTTTCTGGAATATTCTCCTTTAGATACAAAAGGTCTTCACAATATCCCATTTATGTTTAATCAAAATGCAGGCATATTTGGAAGCTCTGAACCTGTCAGCCAGTTCTTACTTCGTCCCTGACTTAAATTCCATGCAATACCTAAACTACGGTGCAGCAGTCAGTGAGGCAAGTTTGTCTAGAAAACCTTTGATTTTCTTTGGTGAATGATTTGAAACTAAAGTTCTGCTTCTTAACATAAACTAAGAACTAGAAGACCTTGCATCTTCAGACTTGTGTCATAACATACCATTAAGGGGTGTCGTTGTTAATTTTTTAATCACCACGATTTGCAGAATAGATCATCATCCTGATTATCTGCAGTAATATTTAATTTGAAGCTGTGGTGAAACAGGTGGAGGTGAATCTTCTGACTGGTGAAACTACAATTTTGAGGTCAGATATTATATATGACTGCGGTAAAAGTCTGAACCCTGCTGTGGATTTAGGGCAGGTTAGCTGGATATCAGTAACTCAAAATTTCAATCCTTAACTCTAATATTTTTCCTCGTCCGTTTCTATGCACAACCCACTTTAAATGTGTTATGTTGTCTTTCAGACTTCCAGCCAATTTTCTTTCCTTTTGAGAACTAAAATTTCTTTTTATTGACATGCTTTTTTTCAGTTCTAAGTATGGATTTGCTATCTACACATTTTTACAAAGAAAATGTTATATGAATGGTTGATCTTCACTGTCCAATTATTTAAGAACACTTGGTGTTCGCAGATTGAAGGTGCTTTTGTCCAAGGAATTGGGTTTCTCATGCTTGAACAATACACCACAAACTCAGATGGATTGGTGGTCGCCGACAGCACTTGGTCATATAAGATCCCTACGATAGACACAATACCGAAACAGTTCAATGTGGAACTACATAACAGTGGACATCACAAAAGTCGTGTTCTCTCTTCAAAAGGTAATTTTTCTATTTTCATAAGCATGTCAAAGGTCCAAAATACTTTTCTCCATGCATGCCATACTTGAAAGCTTACACGAAAATCAAGTGGCCCATTCTTGGATAGATGTGAGTAGTGAATATTCTTAGTTTGACATAATTACCGAATTGCATATGCTCTCTGCAGCTTCTGGTGAGCCACCACTACTCCTAGCAGCCTCAGTTTACTTTGCTGCAAGAGCAGCTATTAAAGAGGCCCGCGAACAGATGCGTTCATGGGGTTGCGTAGAGCAGTCAACATTCAACTTCCAGGTCCCTGCCATTATGCCTACTGTCAAGGAGCTTTGTGGGCTAGACAGTGTGGAGAGGTACTTGGAGTGGAAAATAGGCAGGAAGTGAGACCACAACTTTAAGGAGCTTTGTGGGCTAGACAGTGTAGAGAGGTACTTGGACTGGAAAATAGGCAGGAAGTGAGACCACAACTTTAAGGAGCTTTGTGGGCTAGACAGTGTTGAGAGGTACTTGGAGTGGAAAATAGGCAGGAAGTGAGACCTTCAAGCTGGACTGAACAGCACATGGAGGCTGCTACATTGTTCATACACAAACAAACTATACTGGGCAAGTATCTGCACAAACCACAACTTCACAGATTCTCTGTAAATCAGCAGTGTAAAGTTCATTACATTCAGCTATCCTATTAGAATAAAAGCTAGCAGTCTCTGGATAGAATTATACATGGGGGAACTTTCTGAATAGATAAATAAATCTTTAAGATATCATCAACTTGGAGATCCCTGCCATCTTGCCTGCATCTAAGGAAAATGGGTAGCAAGTAAACTTCTTCGAGATTGAGCTGAAAAATTTATGGAAGGTGTTATTATTTTTACACAAATTAAAAAACCATCTTGGCCAGGCAGGTTACTAGGTTGGCCATCTAACAACATAAAGAAACATTATATTGTTGCTTGCAGTTGTTGATGTTCTGTAAAGTAAGCCCATTTTATTGATGCGGGAGTAATGATCATTACCGCTGTAAAACTGGTATCCTCTTTTTACTAAAAACAAGTATTAATGTTCAATTCTTATTATTTACGGATAACCAGCTGTAATTATTTTTTAATTGTACTAGACTTAGACTAATATAGTTCAAGAAGCAATGTAATGATTGATCAAATGTAAATGTTAAGCGTGTTTTGGCCTAGATTAGCTCGTAACATGATAGATTTAGTCTTAATTTATGAAAAAACTGATTCGAAAATATTAACCTGTTTATATATATATATATATATATATATAACAATCCTAATATTTAGAGAAATTTATTAAATTTTTATGAATATATCAGGTTGGATGTGGATATTGTGTTTTTAAGATAGTATGTTTTTAAAATTATTAAAAGAAAAGAAAGATTTAATCTCATACAAATTGGCTCGAAAATATCTCTCCGTCATGTTTAATATGGAAATAAATTAGTAGGCTATGGAATGATATACTCATGATTTTGGATTGTTAATGTGATTTTCTTTTAAATTTTGCTTAGCAAACGCATTGACAAAACGGGACACTGACATGAAACTTGTTGATTTTGCAAGGATGCCACTTCGAAATGTTCATACTTTCAGTCTTGTTTGATATGATAATTTCTCCATTATGTTTATTTTGTCATGTTGAATCCTTTTAATAATTTTTCTATACGGCAGCTACATGTCTCATGTCATTGTCCCTAATCTCCACCACATTAATCCTTTTCATAGTATTTTTCTTGCTCTCTGTATGGCAATGAGCATGATTTTTTTAAAACACCACTCTATTTTAAATGTATGAGAAATTATTTGATATTTCGAGACATTACTTTTTCGATAGTATTAAAGCAGATCTAAATAACATAATAGTTTTGAGGGTTAGTGGCTCAACATGCTTTTAAATACTAGGATAATTTTTAATTGAACCAATTTTATCTTTAAGTAAATTTTAATTATCTAATCTGCATTCGATAAAATTTTTATGATAAAATATCAAAATTAATCATATAATTTGTATATGAAAATCTTTTATTCCATTGCATTGCAAAGACAAATAATTGAACCTTAAGTCGAGAGGAACAAATTTAGCTAGAGCTCATAAGCTAATTATTCACTTCTAACTTCACTATCATCGACTTTTTGTATTTAGTCGTGTTTGTCAAGAATTAGCTTTTTCAAAGCAAAATGCAAGCAAAAATGTTATGTTTATTGGCTTATTTCCATCTTTAATTTTGAATCTACATCAAATGTCTAGCCTATTATTCTGATAATTTTTATAATAAACTATTAAAATTAATCTACGATATGTACATAAAAACATTCTATTTAAATGAATTACAAAGATATTTTAAAAATAAAAAATAAGCATATGTAAGTTACATGAATGAATAATTCTGATGGTTTAACTTGAAAATCTTTAAAAAAAAAAAAGTCTAAATAAACATAAATTCAAAAACTAATTATATAACGTAGATGTAGGCATTAATCGTAGTTTTGAACCTTCTATTTAAATGAATTACAAAGATATTTTAAAAATAAAAAATAATCATATGTAAATTATATGAATGAATAATTCTGATAGTTTAATTTGAAAATCTTTTTAAAAAAAGTGTAAATAACACATAAATTCAAAAACTATCTTATTATATAATATAAATATAGGCATGAACCCTACTTTTGAACCAAAAAGGAAGTAGACCATTCGATAGTATAAAGAATGTTTAAAAGCAATATGATCTCTTGATGCATCCAACCTTCCCATTTGATGGTATCATTCATCATTAAACAGAGAAGTACTAGTTTGATTATTCATTGGATTTCGATTATTTATTAACGAATTTAAAAAGTTTGCCGTTCGTAACGGTAATATTTTTGAATGATTTTAAATCCTCATGGGCCCCAAAAAAGGTCCAAAAAAAGGGGGGACAGATTTGAATAACTCCCAAGTTATTGTCCTTTCAAGGAATTTTATTTTATCTCTGCTTTTCGTCTTCGTGTTACGTGTCGTTTGCAATACCCAGTAATCAATAGATAATTATCAAAAAAAAAAAAAAAAGGACAAAAAAATGGGATAGAAGTATTCAATTGTTAATTTTTCTTTAAAGTAAAAATTATTAATAGAAAACCCTAGACAGAGAGGCCAGCCCCTTTTAATGGAAGACAGGTAGTCACTGGCCCATGAGAGGTAATTATGATAAATGACTTTGAAAATTGCAAATTGTTTGCATTTTCCCTCTCTTCCTATATTTTCACTTTATAAATAACTAATTTATTCAATCATCCTGTCTTGGTGCCGTTACCTATTTTTAAAGTACTAAAAAACTTTGTTTTTCAGGATAAATTGTAAAATACTTTTTCTGAACTTAAACAAGAAAAAAAAATCTTTCTGAATTTTAAAAAAAAATAATAAACAAGAAAAATTCTTTCAATTCTTCTATTTGTAAATATATTTTTCTAAGGGATTTTACACATATTGAGATCTCGTACCATTCAAATTTTTTATTGAGACCCAAAGTTTTTTTTTTTATCCAACGTAAGAATTCTATTTTTATGATATTGTTTTAGATCCTAATAACAATTTGTCACATGTCATGATGGATTCAAATTGAAAGATTAAATTGTTGACGTGGTAAGTCGTCATTTATTAGAACTTGTCACATGACAAGCTTTAGTCAATGATAGCTTATCACGTGTGTTTATGTAATATATTAGGATTCAAAACAACAATAATATAAAATTAGAACTTTTAAATTGAATAGCAAAAAAACTTAAGGTCTCAATAAAAAAAATTCGAATTATACGAAATCTCAATATGCGTAAAATCTTTTTTCTAAATTAGTAGAAAAATTATACGAATAAAAAAAAATATTGCATTTTCTGTCATTTTTTTAATAAAATCCTGTATTTAAAAAATCATCTTCTTCAACAGATAAGCTAAAAAAATAATAATTTGTAAAGTATGTATCCATGATTTAGACCAAGAAGATGCAAACTCAAACTTGAAGACAATTACTTCACGCCACCAGGTTGGTAGGGTTCAGCAGCTTTTGTGTAATTTTCAGTCCAGTTTGCATCCTTATCTTGGCATTTTAGGCATGCTAATCTGCTTACTTTTGTGTTTGTTGCCAAATGAAATGACTGCAATTGATTCTTTAATTTTATCCTTTTGGGCATGGCATGAACTCCAAGTATGTATTAAAAAAAAAAAATGAAAATGTTATCTTTGCCAATTAGGTTTCAAATTTGGAGAAAGTTTACTTTCGTCCCTATAAATTCATCAATGTTACAATGGTTTAAAATTGCTTAATGTTATTCATGAAGTATTAAAAAATTCCAATATCATTCGTGATTATTAAATATATGATGAAACTTAAATTTGTTTTTGAGTTTTTATTTGTTTTTTTAGTTTTTACAAATTCATAAAATATCATCACATGTGTGAGTATTTGAAATCGGGGGCATGCAAATAGATTAAATGGTTAGCGATAAGCGAATTTGAGTTGGAATTTTTTTTTTGGAATTGAAAATTTCATTATTTGATCCTGCAGGTTTTTAGATTTTTCAATCTTACTGGATCCAACTCGTGTAATTTTGGTAACCTGATTCTATTTTGAATTTCTTTGCCTCATTTTAAAAAATTAATTCATAAATCTTTAGCATAATAAGCATCTTAGATGGAAGTTTTATCGCATAGAAAGAATTTTTTTTTATATAAATACATTAAAAAATGAAAAAAAAAACATAAATCATATTTTGGGTCATTTGATAATCAAAATATTTTTCATTTACTCATTTTAACTTTTCAAAAAAAAAAAATTGATTTTGTTTGATTAGACATATCATCTAAAGTACATAAGTTTTTTTATTTGAAAATATTATTTTGGATTAGGAAATCAGGTAAACTAAAATATTATCAATCCTAATTAGAAGAAAAGATGACAGAGGAACAAGAAAACAAAAGGAAAAAGATGAGAAAAAAGTTAGCTTTCTATTGATTTTCTAAGGGTATTAATACTGAAACCTTTTGGAAACATTAGGGATAGTGTTAAGAAAGTTTAAAATATAGAAGTGAAAGTGCAACATGAATCAAATTATAGGGGCAAAAATATAGTTTTCCCTTCAATTTTTGTCAGTTACAAACAAATTAAAATATCTTATTAAAGAGAATTTTGAAAAATGAAACCACCGAACGTGGGTTGGGGAAGAAAATGATAGCAATTGGGTTCAGACAACGTCAGAAAGTCTCTATAAGTAGACAAAGCTGTCCTTGATGAGGACTAAGCCGGGAGCACTGTGCCCTTTTGTAATCCAAAACTTTGCCCTCTTTTCTCTGTCTCTCTCTCTGAAGGTTTTGCTTCCGAGTTTTCACTTCGCCATGTAAGTTCAAGGAAGCTCTGTTGTCATTTCTTGGTTCTTGTTTTTGAACTTGTTTAAGCTCAGAAGTTGCTTTCATTTCCATCTTTTAGTTCTTTAATGAATGCGTGGAAATGAAGTTGATGTGTTTCTTTCCATCCTGCTTTATTGTTTCTCTCTCTGTTTTTTTTTCTTTCCTTATTCGAGTTGTGACTTAAATCTGCAGATATCAAGTGAGTGGGCGATTTGGGAGCTAAAATGGGGAGAATGTCGAGACCCATTTTGGGATTTCTACTACTATGCTGCTTGGTAGCAGCGGGTGAAGCACAATACTTGAAATACAAAGACCCCCAAAAGCCATTAGGTGCAAGAATCAAAGACTTAATGAAAAGAATGACTCTAGAAGAAAAGATTGGCCAAATGGTGCAGATCGAGCGCACTGTTGCAACTCCAGATGTCATGAAGAAGTATTTCATTGGTACTTACAAAGTCTTTACAGTATTATTCGCTATGTTCCAGTATTTTATAATTGAATGATGAGTTGTACCGTGAATACAGGGAGTGTGCTGAGTGGTGGAGGGAGTGTGCCGGCACCCAAGGCCTCAGCAGAGGCTTGGGTGGACATGGTTAATGGGATCCAAAAGGCGTCTCTATCAACCCGTCTTGGAATTCCAATGATTTATGGGATTGATGCTGTTCATGGCCATAACAATGTCTACAATGCCACCATTTTTCCTCACAATGTTGGGCTTGGAGTGACCAGGCAAGTATTTTGTTTTTTATTTTGAACAACCATGGTTATCTTACCAATTTTTTATTTGATTAGTCAAGATTATTAATTCTTGTCTTGTACTCAACTACATGTCAAGGTTGTCCTTTTTGTTTAGTTTTAGTGAACTTGTGGTAGCTGTCTAGTGGGATTGTGTGCACTTAAAGATTATCTAATATATGTTGTTGCTGACCCTTTTTTGTTAAAGCAGTGTTACTGCGAATTTTCTGTTTTGAAGTTAGCACTCAACAAATATGCAGATTAGTGAATCTGTTTAGGTTTCCAAAAGGACATTAATTGATAGATTAAAGTGTTAAAAATTGAGTTGTTGGATCCTAATATCAGCTAGAGTAATTTAATAATCTCAGCTCTATTAAAATTCTAACTTTCTTTGCATTCATCAGGGATCCTCAACTAGTCAAAAAGATTGGTGAAGCAACTGCTCTTGAAGTTAGAGCTACAGGAATCCCTTATGCCTTTGCTCCATGTATCGCGGTACTAATATGATGACAAATTGATTCACTTGTTCTAGAAAATGTTAACCATTTGTCAAATATGTGATTTGGCTTATGTGTTTGATTTTACAGGTTTGCAGGGATCCAAGATGGGGTCGCTGCTATGAGAGCTATAGTGAGGATCATAGGATTGTTCAGTTAATGACTGAGATTATACCTGGCTTACAAGGAGAGTTACCTGCCAATTCCAAAAAGGGCGTTCCATTTGTTGCTCCTGGAAAGTAAGTGCTATCCCAATAAGTTGTTTCCTATCAATGCTTGGTGAATTTAGGGTCCTAATTACTCTTTTTGCATAGTTGTTTCCTATCAATGCTTTTGCTTTTGCTCATGATCCTTTGCCGTGATTGAAGCCCTTAGATTGAATTTCGGAAAAAAAAAAAAGTTTTGAAAATGCTCTCAAATTTTTAGCTGTGCTATTCATTATACTGTAATGTGTGATAAACATCTATATAAGCACACAATGTTAAAGGGTCAAAGTCCACCTAACTTGTCAGTATTTGCTTCACGTGATTTGAGGCTAATTTCCAGTGGACATCTGCCAGTGGTCTCACTAGTGTTGCACCTAAGGCATGATAAATATGGAACAAAAATAAATGACAAAACAGTATAGGTAGGTCGGACCAGCCTTCTGGGGCCCTCCATACGCGAGCTTCATCCATGAGAAGGCACTTGCATTATCTTATTTTAGTGGAAAGTGTCAACATGTTAGTACACGTCACTTTTTCATTTACATGATGTCTACAAGTAACTTCTATTTTGGACATTTTAGTGTGTCCCCAGCCGCTGCCATGTTAGTGGTGGGGGCATCAAGTCCCGTAGATAAACATTAAAGAGCAGATACATGGCAATGTTAGTCCTCCAGTATAAGCATTTAGTCCTTCAGATCAACTCAAGCTTCGTATTTTTAACTTGAAAATGCTTAGTTGTTCTTCTGGGTCTGAAAATGTTAGTTCATTTTCAAATTTTAAAATGGTGGACCACCAATAGCTTTAGATGCTAGGGAAAACTGTCTACCTTTTGAGTCACTAGAAATATCCTTTCAGGACAACATTTTCTAGCAGAATAATCACTAGCAGTCCTATACGTCCAACTATGGTTGCATATGGGCCATATTTATGTATTGTGGTCCTAATCACGAGATTAATTGCAAGAAAAAATAAGGTGTCTGATAGTGCACCCTATTGCTGAGGTATACAGACAACTCCCATTTTCTGGTTTGTTTTTATGGATTGCTGCTGAAAAATGAACTTGGAAAAACAGGTCTTGCTAGTATGGTTCCTTATTTGCGGGTTTATATATAATCAAGAAAGTCCTTTTGCTTTTGTAACTAATTAAGTTCATTTGGAAGTATTATTTTAGACTGGAATCTTCAACTAACATTTTCTCCTAATCAATTGTTTACCCTGATTAGCACCAAGGTAGCAGCCTGTGCTAAGCACTTTGTGGGAGATGGTGGAACGACAAAGGGTATTGACGAGAACAACACCGTAATCAGTATGAATGGATTGCTCAACATTCACATGCCAGCATACTATAATGCAATTAGCAAGGGTGTTGCAACAGTTATGGTATCCTACTCGAGTTGGAATGGGAAGAGGATGCATATTAATCAGGATCTTGTCACTGGATTCCTGAAGAACAAGATGAAGTTCAGGGTAAAACAGCCATTAAAATAATTTTTCCATTTTTTTTTCTCAAGTTGGTTCTGGAGATCCTAGACTAACTTGTTTCAATGTGAATGTTTCAGGGATTTGTGATATCAGACTGGGAGGGTCTTGACAGGGTTACCTCTCCTCCACATGCTAACTATTCCTCTTCTGTCCAAGGAGGAGTTGGTGCTGGCATTGATATGGTTAGTCAAACTTTAGTATGATCTAAAAAATAATTGTTTTCAGCATCCAACGATGTAGTGTATGAGTTGAAAATTGAAAAGGATGTTCTGCAAGCAGAAACTTAAGTTTCTTGTTTGCCTTTTGCTTATTTCCTTGCTAATGAGTGTCTTTTGTTTGCAGATTATGGTTCCATATAACTTCACAGAGTTCATTGACGATCTAACTTATCAAGTGAAAAATAATATTATTCCCATGAGCAGGATTAATGATGCTGTTCAAAGAATTTTAAGGGTTAAGTTTCTCATGGGTCTCTTTGAGAAACCATTGGCTGATCTCAGCATGGCCAATCAACTTGGCAGTCAGGTTTGCAATTCAATCTTCTTGCCTATAAAGGTGACGAAATTTTGTCTCTGTTGATCGCATGAAGTTGATTGAACAGGAACATAGAGAATTAGCAAGGGAAGCTGTGAGGAAATCACTTGTTCTGCTAAAGAATGGCAAGTCTTATGCTAAGCCATTGCTACCACTTCCTAAGAAGGCGACGAAGATACTAGTTGCTGGAAGCCATGCTGACAACTTGGGCTATCAATGTGGAGGCTGGACAATATCATGGCAGGGTCTTGGTGGCAATGATCTCACAGTTGGTATGTTTCTGACATTATTCATAGGCACTGACTGTTGCAAACTCCGAAACAGTTCCAACTGCTTGGCATTCCCCAATGTGTTTTTACAATGTTTGTAATGGATTACCATCTTCATGAACAGGTACCACAATCCTCAATGCAGTGAAGAACACAGTTGATCCTACCACCCAAGTTGTCTACAACGAGAACCCAGATGCAAATTTTGTCAAATCCAACAAATTCTCTTATGCTATCGTTGTGATAGGTGAGCCACCATATGCTGAAATGTATGGTGACAGCTCCAATCTAACTATATCTGAACCTGGCCCAAGTACCATCACCAATGTGTGTGGAGCTGTCAAATGTGTCGTGGTAGTAATCTCTGGCCGCCCAGTTGTGATCCAGCCCTACCTTGAAAAAATAGATGCTCTTGTTGCTGCTTGGCTTCCAGGAACTGAAGGCCAAGGTGTTGCCGACAATCTTTTTGGAGACTATGGGTTCACCGGCAAGCTTGCACGAACATGGTTCAAGACAGTCAACCAGCTCCCAATGAACGTCGGCGATCCACATTATGACCCTCTATTTCCATTTGGGTTTGGTCTCACTACTAAAGTTACCAAAAACTAGAAATTCACCAATTGCAGAGTGATATTATTCACATTTTCCCCTGCTCCTTCATGGTAAAAAAACTGAGGCTATTTCCCCTCTGCATGAGGAGCTCTATAGAGTGTTTTAAGTTATTAAGAAAGCTTAGGGACAGGGTGCATCATTGCTTCAAGTTGTAAGATCTAAAAACCTTTATAAAATGATTGTGGGACTCATTCCTTTGTGAGTGTGTGACCTAATGTTGAGCTTAACTCGTGTAACAAGCTATGGAGTCTTCTATGAATCCACCTCTACTCCCATAATCACTCTCATCTCTGGTTTGAGCAGAAAACAATGGCTTGATATCATGCAGGTGAGTTTACTATAAGCTAGCATTCCAAGAAGACTAAAATATTGTTTATGGCTGTAAAATGAATCAAATTACTTGAGAGTAATTAAATATTTTGGACTCACTAGAATGACCTTTGAAGATTGTTAAATGTTAATAGCCTAAGAAATAAAGCGGAAGAAAATAATTTGGTTCAGATTTTTCTTTTTGATTCATCAAGAGGCTTTCTGACATTGAGCTGAAATGGAGAGTAATTTTCTTCTATTAGGTAATAATTAAGTAAATTAAAATAATTAGAACTCGATCTTGCTTCTTTTAAAAAAATTATCGGATATACAATTATTAGATTATGCCTGCTTGTGTAGATCATTCTTTTTCTTTTTTCTTTTTCTTTTATAGCATCAAAGTTGTCTCTATGTTTTTTTTATTTTTATTTTTTTATCAATTCTCAACTTCATCCAAAATAAATAAATTTGTCAATTGATTTTAAGTTTATTATGAGTAAATTATAAATTCATCTCTCTTTTTTAAAAATAAATTAAAAGTAAAATAATTAGTCATTTTTGTTTTAAAAACTAATTATTTATTCCTTTGATAACGTCAAAGTTGTCACTATACTTTGAACATTTATAAGTGTCCACTACATTTAACATAATTCTAAAAATGTTATTTTTACTCATTAAATTTTGCATAATATTTATTTATTTTTTCATTTAAAAAAAAAAAGAAAAAAACCATAAAATGAAAAAAAATTAAATTTTGAAACATGAAAAACTAATTAATTCGTTTTTCAAAAGGGGACTAATTTATAATTTACTCGTTTACTAGCTATTCTACGAAGAAGAAAAGAAAGAGAAAAAAAAAAAAAAAAAAAACAACAACAGGCCAAGAGCGGGCCAGCAGGGGCAATGGCCCAGTGGCCACAAGGTTCGCTTGCTAACGTTTAACAATATCATAAAGTCAGTCCCTATTCTTTACAAATTTTCAATTTGATTCGAACAAACAAAAAGTATATTTTCATTTTTAGCCCTTAAGAATTATGATGTTTTTTTACTTTCTCATCGCATTTGATCCTTAAGGATGGAATATTTCCTTCCCCACCGTTCCCCACCTCAAAAGCAAAAAAGAAAAAAGAAAAAAGAAAAAAGAAAATGATGCACGCGGCTTGTAAAGGAAAAACATTTATTAGCTTTATTTCCTTAAAAAATGTCCTCCAATTTTTTTTTTAACTCTTTAAACAAAACTAAGTCACAAACGTTTAGGCGTAAAAATTAAAAAAAAAAACACAAACCATTTTTTGTCAAAATGATTCATTGTTTGTATGTGAGTATTTAGGAGTAAAATTTGCTTCAACAAAAAAAAAAAAGACAAAATTATAATTTGGTATTCAATGGATAACAAATACATTATCAGTTAATGAAAAAATTAACGAAAATATTTGATTGACAGTTTAAAAAAAATTGATATGCTAAATTAATTAATTAATTAATTAAAATTCATATATTCGATAAAAAAAAATAAAAGCTATTATAGTTATAGTACATTTATCCCGTATATCTTGTGTCAGTCTTCATTATTGCTTGTTTTCTCACTTTAAAAGTCTTAAATAAAAATTAAATTAAATAAATATATAATTTTGGATAAAAACTAAGTAAAAGTCATTAATAAGATGACTAATTAATAGCAATATTATTTCCATAAAAACACACTTATACTTAATATAGAGTTCTTAATTCCGCGGGTGTCTATAATGTGCAAAATCCAAAAGCAAAGCAAATTATTATTATTATTTGGGTAAATATACTCATATGTTTTTAGTCTTTCATAAATCTTTACATTTTCAAAATCTGATTTGTTTATGAAAGTATTCGAAATATTCAATTTATCATTCCGATCAATTTTATTTATCAAATAATTTTTTTGATCGAAATACCTCTATTTGAAATGCAAAAAAAATAAAATAAAAAAATCTAAAGACTTATATATATATATATATGTGTGTGTGTGTGTGTGTGTGTGTGTGTAAAAGATATTTCAATAAAAAAAATTTATGAAAAATTTAATTGAAATGACATATTAAATATTTTGAAATTTTTTAAAAACATATATGATAAAAGATTTTGAGTTTTATATAAAAACATATTAATATATTTATGTACACAGTCATGTTACTAAATGAGTTTGACAACTTAGTTCTTATCCATAATCATCTAAAAATATGCTTAACCACCCGTAAGATTTTATGCATAAAAATATGGACGGTTCAGATTTATGTTTTACACCCATGATTCCACATATCCCGGTAGAATTGGAGTCAAAATCAGTCATGGAAAACCTATTAAGATTTGTTTATAAAAGCAAACACTTATTCCCCCACTTCTTAGTTAGTTTCAGTCAGCAAATTCCTGCTCCATCGTTGTTACTTCTGCAGCTGTAGATTTTGGACGTGATCAGGTAAGCATTAGGGTTTTGTGATCTTTTCGTTTTTCCTGAAAGATGTTCGTCTTTTTCTGTGAAATATTTAGAATATTATATATCATGATAATGTCACATCAAACATCATTTGAATTTGTTTTTTTTTTTTTTCAACTTTTCTGTCCATGTTTTTGTCAAGTATGTCCTGTTAATTAGTTTTTGTGCTTCAAGCAATGTTTAAAATAAAAATATGTGTCTTACTGTGCTTTCCCTGTATCTATATTTGAATTTTTTTTTTTTTTAGTGTTGCTAAAGGTTTGAAATTTGAGATTATTAAAACTCTAAAGGTTCAAATTTGAGATTTTTGCATGTTAAAAAATTGGAAAAGAACTATATATCACTTTTGTGTAGTTTAAGATCCATTAAATCTTTCATAATATATATATATAAAGTGTGTATTATCGTGTATCTATAATTTGAAAGGTTTTTTTTTTCCCCAACAGATGTAATAAAAAAAAAAAAAGACCTTACAATGTGTGCAATTAGTTAATTTTTTTATGTTATGTAATTTACATATCTCTATACTTGATTGACATATTTAGTTCACCTTAAAAAAAAAACCATAATTATTGAGTGTTCCTAAAGCTTTTGAAATTTAAGATTATTAAGGTTCTAGAGGTTGAAATTTGAGATTTTTTTTAAAAAAATGAAGAAGAACTATTTTCGTGTAGTTTAAGATCCATTAAGTCTTGCATTGTAAAAAAAAGAAAACACACAACAACAACAACAACCTTTCATCTGTACTTTGAAGAGTAAATTATAAATTGGCCCCGTTTAGAGAAACAAATTAATTAATTTCTCATTTTTTAAAAACTAATCATTTACTTTGAAGAATAAATTATAAATTGGTCTCTCTCGTTCGGAGAAACAAATTAATTAGTTCTCCTCTTTTTAAAAATTAATCATTTACTCTTTCGCATTTAATTTCGTTAATAACTTAATCTTTTATCAATTTTTCCTTAGATTAGTAATTTTTGTTTTTAAATTGCCTTTTTCTTTGATTTTTGATTGATGAGAAAGAAATAGAATAGGTAAAGAAGAGAAATATGACATCAAAAAACAGGGTAATTTGAGAAAAAAATAAAAAAGCTGATAAAAAACCTAAGTTATTGACGGAAATAAAACTTAGGAGACTAAATAATTAATTTAAAACGAGAGGCACTAATTAATTTATTTCTCATGCTTTGATTTTTTTTTTTTAATATTATGTAATTTTCATATCTCTACACTTCATTGATATATTTATTTCACCCTTTTTTAATCAATCCCGAAATTTTTTGTGATCAATTTAAACTTACATCTCCATTCTATTTTGTTATTTATTTATTTTTGGTAGTCTTGAAGTCTCTAAGAGTTTTTTCAAAGCTAAGAAGATGTCAAGGATTTCAATTCCCTTAGTGGGATTTCTCTTGCTATGCTGTCTTGCAACTACGATTCAAGCTGAAGGAGAATACATAGAATACAAAGATCCAAAAAAGGCAACCAATGTACGAATAAGGGACCTGATGAGTCGAATGACGCTAGCAGAAAAGATTGGCCAGATGGTGCAAATAGAGCGATCTGTTGCAACTTCCGATACCTTGAGGGATTACTCTATCGGCAGTGTACTAAGTGGTGGAGGAAGTGCCCCTCTCTTTAATGCCTCTCCTCAAGAATGGATTAATATGGTTAATGGATTCCAAAATGCTTCACTTTCTAGCCGTCTTGGAATTCCCATGATTTATGGGATTGATGCTGTTCATGGTCACAACAATGTTTACAAGGCCACCATTTTCCCCCATAATGTAGGTCTTGGAGCCACAAGGTAACACACGTACATACTCATGCTAAAAAGGTTTTCCCGTTGCGGTCTGGACTAGGACTGCGATGAGGTTCGTGTAATAATTTCCCAAGAAAACTATTTGTAACTTTAACAAATCTATATTTCAGGGATCCTGACCTTGTGAAGAGGATTGGAGCAGCAACTGCTCTTGAAGTTAGAGCTACAGGCATTCCTTATGCTTTTGCTCCATGCATTGCGGTATGCAGTGAGCTATAAGAACAATCTGATTATACCTTTGAATTTACGATTGATTCATTTATTTTAATTATTGTATAAAAAACAGGTTTGTAGAGATCCCAGATGGGGGAGGTGCTACGAGAGCTATAGTGAGGATCCTAAAGTTGTTGAAATGATGACAGAGATTATACCCGGATTGCAAGGTGATATTTCTTCAGATTCCAGAAAGGGTGTTCCTTATGTTGGTGGAAAGTAAGTGTGATTTAATTTAATTTATACATTTAATTATACATTCTTAGCTAAATTTTATATTATTTGCTCAGATAATTACTCCAGAAAATGCTGATCTTGTTACAGGGAAAAAGTTGCAGCCTGTGCAAAGCACTTTGTGGGTGATGGTGGCACAACCAATGGGATTAACGAGAATAATACTGCCATTGATTATCATGAATTAATGAGCATTCACATGCCAGGTTATTCTCACTCCATTATCAAGGGTGTCTCGACAGTCATGGTTTCTTACTCGAGCTGGAACGGACAGAAGATGCATGCCAATCGTTACCTCGTCAAGACTCTTCTCAAGGATATCCTCAAGTTCAGGGTACTGATGAATTAAATTTGTGATGTTTTGATAAAATTATGTAACTAAAACTAAGTCATTGAATATTCTGAAAGCAAACAATTCTGACTTCTGCCTGAAAACATTGCAGGGTTTTGTCATCTCTGATTGGGAAGGTATTGATAGGATTACTTACCCACCTCATTCAAACTACACAGAATCAGTTCTGAAAGGAATTTCAGCTGGCATTGATATGGTTAGTTGATGCCTCCTCTTTCAAAGACTAGCTGAAATTTGCCCATTCTTTTCAAAGAAAATGATAATTGTTCTGGTTGATTAGATCTGCTTTTCTTGGCTTTGAAGCTTTAACATGTATGTTTCAGGTCATGGTTCCGTACAACCATACTGAGTTCATCGATATTCTGACCGACTTAGTAAACAATAACTACATCCCCATGGGCCGTATTGATGATGCTGTCAGGAGGATTTTGCGAGTGAAATTCGCTTTAGGTTTGTTTGAGAATCCCTTGGCTGATGAGAGCTTGGTTGACCAGCTTGGAAGCCAGGTAACTTTATTTGTCTGAATCTGAGCATTCTTTTTCCATATCAGGAGATTCCTTTAATTTGTCTGAATCTTTGGCATTTTTTTATGAAAGTAGGCTCACAGAGATTTGGCTAGGGAAGCTGTGAGGAAGTCACTTGTTCTCTTGAAGAATGGAGAGAATGCAGATGCTCCATTTCTACCTCTCCCCAAAAAAGCATCAAGGATCCTTGTAGCTGGAAGTCATGCCAACAATTTGGGCTATCAATGTGGAGGTTGGACAACAACTTGGCAAGGAGTTGATGGCAACAATTACACTTCTGGTATGACATCCTTCTCCTTCTTTACTTCCATTTCTAACATGATTCTCTTGAATTCATACGAGTAGTACTGATGGAACTTGTCCTCTATATTGCAACGAGCAGGAACCACCATCTTAGGTGGTATCTCAGCTGCAGTTGATCCAAGCACAGAAATTGTCTACAGCAAGAACCCTGATGCTGATTTTGTAAAGTCCAACAACTTCTCTTATGCCATTGTTGTCGTCGGAGAGACACCTTATGCCGAGACAGCTGGAGACAGTTTGAACCTGACCATAGCTGAACCAGGTCCTAGTACAATCCTCAACGTCTGCAGCAACGTTAAGTGCGTTGTGATCACAGTCTCCGGCCGTCCAGTTGTTATCGAGCCCTATGTGACACAAATCGATGCTCTTGTTGCTGCTTGGTTGCCAGGTACTGAAGGCCAAGGAGTAGCAGATGTGCTGTTTGGGGACTATGGATTTACCGGAAAGCTGCCTCGGACTTGGTTCAAGACTGTTGATCAGCTCCCTATGAATGTTGGTGACTCTCATTATGATCCACTCTTCCCCTATGATTTTGGACTCACAACTGAGCCTGTTCAATCAAGCTAGAAAATTCGCTTTGAAGAACAATTGGTTTCAGTGTGTCATGTACTGTTATAGACAATTCCTTAATTAGGTATTAATTAGCTTCCAATAGAAACAAGACACTTTGCTAAGTCAGGTTTTTTGCTTTGTGTTTCTTTCTTTGGACAGAGTCAGGATTTTTGCTTAAAGTTTTAGCAAGTATTGGAGATTATTTTAACTCTTTTTTTTTTTTTTTTTTTTTTTTTTTTTTTTGTGCATGATTAGTTACTCAAATCAGTAGACCTCCCAATGGTTCTAAAATTTTGATAAAAGACTCGGAGAAAAGATAGTTCTTTGTAAAGAATTTATATTATTAGAGACTATACTCACACATAATTTTAATAAAATCAAATATTTGTTGCATTTTTGTCTTGTTTACGTTTTAGACGAAAATTTGTGTTGAACAAAAAAATCCAGCAAATCCTAACCTACATTTGCTCACTTCAAAAGCTTGAAGACATATCACAAACCAAGTTGTCAAAACTGGTCAAGAGACTAACTAAATAATTAGTCTTGATCATATAAATTGTGAATCTTTAGAGATATTGAAGGTGAATTTACATGAGAAGGCTTTCAAACTGCCTAGTTTTATGTGTTTTCGTAGGCTCAAGTCTCTTCAGCTTGTGAAAGTTAAGATAATCAATGAAGAGGTTGTCCTTCGAAGCTTAATTACAGCATGTTCAGTAATTAAAAAGATTTGAGTTTCATTGGATGCATTTTTAGTGATTTCAAGGTTCTTGAAATTGATTCAAAGAGTTTGAAGCACTTCATCGAGTTAGGAATTTTAATGAGATAGAGCTGGAAAAGCAATCAACAATTATGTTGATGCTCAGAAACTTGGGGAAGGTGGTTTGCGCTTGCGCTTGAGTATTTGCGTTCTTTAGCAAACCCACCATTTATCCACAGAGATTTTAAGTCTGTGAACAAACTTTTAGATGAAAATTACACAACAATGTTAGCTGATTTTGGAGCTTTATTGTTGATTTCATCATGCCAAACTCATATAGCCACAAAAGTGGAAGGCACTTTTGGCTTCCTATATCCCATATATTTAAATAACGATAATTACATAATGTAACAACCGTTGTATAATGGCTTTGAGGCACTTGTTACTGTTGTTCTACATTATATAATAGTCACGATTATTATTTTACTACTGCAGTAAGCCACAATTTGCCGATCGTGACCATGATTGTTTTTTCAACCACATCTGAAACTACGCTGGATCCTGAGTATCTCATGACAGGTGAGTTAATGGCAAAGAGTGATGTATACAGCTTTGTAGCTGTTGTCAGAATGGTCCACTCCTCATTTCTTGGTTTCAGACTCGACCAACCTTTACCAACTTAACTAAGGTTTAAATTCTTAGAAATCCAAGCACAAAAACTTTGGCTGGCTTGGAGATAGCGCTATATGTTTAGCGATATTCTTGAGCGTAACCTATTGAAGAGGATTGAGATTGTACGGATCAATGCATGTTTCAAGGCTAAAGCTCGATAAATCTATGCAGAGATACTAGAAACTACTTAGGACAAATGATAACAGCTTAAGTTTTACTAGACTAGGCAGAGTGCTTCAAAGTATTTAGGACAAATGATAAATGTGATGCAGAAGGAAAACAATGATAATTATGGCATAAAGCATTTCGAATTTGATTACACGTGCTTAAATTTCTCCAAGGACATTAAAAAAAAGAAGAGGGAATAATGCAACTAGAAAAAGCAGCAGTCTTCAACACAAACCAAAACATATCTTATGGCATATTTATTATTGATTGATCACTAAGTTTTGTAAGAAATCATGGCTTCGACATCTGATGAGTGAGCTTCATCAACTTGAAAACTGTTGCAAGTAAGTGACGTAGAAGCAGCATCACACATGCCGGTTACTATTGCACCACCCCAGATGGTTTCAACTTCATTATTTTGTTTAACATTCATCTTCTCTTACAACAGTCGAATCCCCTCCAACTCAATCACGACTTCTTTCATCGTCGATCGGTTTCTTCCATTTAAATCCAAGCACCTCCTAGCAAGATTAGCTACAGAAACAACCTCCTCCTCAAGGCACTGCTCCTTAACTTCAACATCAAGAATATCAGAGAGTCTATTCTCTTCCATTGAAAGAATGAAATGTGCAGCCAAGCTTTTGGTTTCCAGTGACTGGTTTAAAAAAATTGGCTTTTTTCCAGTTAAGAGCTCGACAAGAACTACTCCGAAACTATAAACATCACTCTTGTCTGTAAATTGACCAGACTGGAAGTATTCTGGGTCCAAGTACCCAATGGTGCCTTGCACATTAGTGGTCAAATGAGTCTGATCAATAGCTATTGATCTTGAAGTTTCAAAATCTGCCACCTTTGCTCGATACTTCCCATCCAATAGTACGTTCATCGACTTTATATCGCAATGATAAATCGGAATAGAAGCTGCTGAGTGAAGATAGGAAAGTGCTCCAGCAGTTTCAGCAGCAATCTATAATCGCATTTCCCATGATAATGGAAACTCCTCACTTTGGCCATGAAGATACTGAAAAGAGTTCCATTACGAATAAATTCATAAACCAACAGAGGAACTTCAGTCTCCAAGTAACAATCGAGTAGCTTAACTACATTTCTATGGCTAATTTGTGAAAGAATAAAAACCTCATTGATAAATCCTTCAAGCTTCTCTTCATCCACCATTTTAGACCTTTTAACCGCAACGATTTTTCTATCTGCTAACATTCCCTTATAAACGGTGCCTTGGCCTCCTTGACAAAGTATTCTATTCGCATTAAAATGATCAGTGGCTTTTTCCAACTCCTTCGAGCTAAATACTTCGATTTTCTAAGTACTACCTTGTTCACTTGAGGATACATGTTGTAACAAAGAACCACCATTCCTTTTGAAGAACTTTCTTTTCAATCGGATGCTTCTTCTTCTCTTCAAAAGTTTGACCAACCACCAAATACCGATAAGCAATAGCACTACTCCAACTACTGCATTACTCAAAAAACAAAACAGAAGCTTACAAATATATGCGTAAATTTCAACATATGTAGCAAGCAATTAATGGTGCTAATCTTCCATAAAGGAGGAAGTGAAGGATTATTTACCTACAACAATAGTTATAATGGTGCTAAATCCAGGACAATGACCTGTTTTGCCATCACCGCTCCTGCCAAATGGACAGTCACATGTGTAGCTTCCAACAGTGTTCTTGCATGAACCTACCTTTCTGGTTCTTTGCACTCATCTATACCTGTTAATTGTTATTAGGAGGAATTAGTAACTGAATCCTGAAAAGAAAACAGAAAAAGAAGAAGATATATTGCCAGAGAATCTCAATCCAAAAGTATATATAACCCTTGAAAAACTAAGGCAATGTATACATGGATTCACCTTTGCAACCTTGGGGAAGGTAGGGGTTTCCTTCAAATCCTTCCTTGCAAAGCAACGATAACCTGGACCATTGTCAGAGTAAGTGCAATTCGTATTATTGCCGTAGGCATATGCACTTATGTTAGCTATAGCCTGTTCACAGGTCTTGTTTTGGATGACCCAGTCGACCACAACATCTGAATAATATTCTTCTGGATTAACAGAAAGCTGTCAATCTGACAAGTTGAAGGAGTGTTCATCCAGTAGAAATGCATATCCACAAAGATTGAAATCCGAAACTTTCCTGTAATTGTTAACACTATAAAGTGAAAAGTCAAGTGACTTTATCCCTTTGCGAATTGAGGTCTGGCAGCATCCAGAACCTGAGCAAGGATTGTCATCTGTCATGTTCACGTTTCTTGAGCACAAGGGGACACAGGATGCCCCGTATATAGAATTCCAGTCAGTCGCTCGAGCTGAGATATCACAACCAATAACTGTGAATTTGTTCTGGTCCCAAAACCCGAAAGGGCCTTCGAGTCTGATAGAACCATGGGAATGACTCATCTCGCACTCAGCCTTATTGTAGCAGTGATATGTTGTAGGAATGTTGAGAGTTAATGTGCCTTCCAGCACTGATATAAAGTGAACGGCCATGAACAATAGATCATCATCAGGATGACTATCGCTACTGTTCCTGCAATTTAGAAGGAAGCCCTCGTTCATTGCACAGTTGGGTTCCCTAATCCCAAAGGGGTAAGGAACACAAATTCTCACATTTTTCTCGACAATCAGATTTTGCATCTACATCACTTAATGTTGCTGTTTTTATTGGCAGCAATAATAGCAACATCATCATCATCTTCATCCTCCAATACACCCACATTTTCATGCATGCACTGCCCAACTTAATCAATTTGTAAGCCCAAGACAAAAAGAAAGGAAGAAAGAAATATGAGAGAAGCTCGAAACCAAATTTCTCCCTGCAATTGGTTCAACTGACATGTCACCACATTACAAGCATAATACAAAATTTGTTGAACTAAATTGCACTTCCATTGCTCTTGCCGACTAGTCGACCATCATTCTTTTTCTCTCTCACCATTGCTAATTTTAGGTTTCCTAGTGCTTTTGATTCAAGTTTCTCTGCTTTAGTTTTGAGTCTTTTGCTTGTCCATATTTAGCATGGTTAAATTGAGAAAACTTATCAATCACGCGGTAACATTGAATTAATCAGGATCAAATAATTCCTTATTTGGCAAGGAAAAATTGATTCGGCCACAAGATGTGAGTGGCCTCAAGTTCTAACATTGTCATCCCATCCATACCTTCTGGAGGCCCTAACTAAGGGAAATTTTATAATAATCAAGAGTAACTAATACCTAGTTAAAGCCTAATTTTCTTTCTTAATTTGAAATTCACCATTAATTTGTCACTTTGTCGGAAGGAAAAGAACTATTCATTTTTTTTTCTTTGGTTACATAAGAGATGTTAAAACTAAAAAAAAAAAAATAGGAGAACATTAGATCAGTTGGTATCCTCGAACTAGACTTCATCTCACTCGAGACTATGTCCTTACTTTCTGAGTTAGATCGATATCAAATTACGCTTATTCTTAAATCGATGCTGGAGATGGAATTTTTTCCATCAGCAGCCCGTATTTTGTGCAACACAAAAGAGAAGAAAGACATTAATTCTCAACTACAACCTCTGCTCTTGTGAATAAAAATACTTTCTTTACCGCTTCACCTAAGCATCTAAGCACTAAAGGGAGAGGTAAAATGGATATAACTTCCAATCATTTAAGAACCAAATACCAAATTACACTAATATTGAGGGGGTCTTAAGTTTCACATTGAATTGTCTTTCATCCTAGATTAACTACACGTGTAACACAGCTCCGAAAGGTCTGAGGTCAAGCAAACTTCCATAATCCATGTTTAACAGAACAAGGCCGTGTCCTAACATATAGTTGTCTTGGAAACTAATTTGTGCTTCAGTCAAATGTCTCTCAGGTAGAGATGACTTCTAAATTTCACGTGTTGCAGGTTTTTTTCGTCTTCCTATTCCCATTTGTATTATTTTTGTAAATTATATATTAGTCTCTCTTGTTTCAAGAAACAAATTAATTAGTCCTTTTTATTTTAAAAATATCATTTAATCCATTATGTTTTAATTTTGTCAATAACTTAGTTCTTTTATCAGTTCTTTATTAGTTTAGTAATTTTTTTTTTCAAGCCGTCCTTGATTTGGTGTTGTATTTCTCTCATTTACTTACTTTTTTTCTTTCTCTTCAACTAAAAAGAAGAAGAATAATTTGAGAACATAAATTATTAATGTAAAGAAAAACTGATTAAAAAAACTAAGTTATTTACAAAATTAAACCCCATTTTCTCGGGCGATAGAGCTTCATCTTTAGACTTCGAGGCTCGAGTTTGATTTGGAACTCCAGAAAATTGAGAATAATTAATTTCACGACATGTTGATGGAGTTAGTAGGGAAAAATTAAGAAATCCATGAATTAATGAATAGATTACTTCTTCTCTGGTACATCGTGCATCGGCTTTTTTAACTTTTTTCAACAATATTCTTCGACAAGGATTGTCTACCAAAGCTTTTCCATGAACACTCGAATTCCAACGCACAAATGTGTGGAATTTGTGATGACTCAACAGCATAAATTAAAGGATAAATAACTCAATCTCTTTATCTAATATTACAATTTTAATTATTTTTCATATATTTTTAAAAAAAATTTAGAAATTTAATCTGTCAATTGTTTTATAATAAGTTTTTTTTTTTTTTTTAACTAAAGTACCCTTAAGTGAAATGCAAAAAAATAATAATAACAATTTAAATATTTCAAAAATAAAACATACATGCATGTTATGTGATTTTAACTTTTTTTTTTTTTTAGTAAAGGACATTTTGATCAAAAAATTTCCCTATAATTGAAAAATTAATTAGAAGAACAATTTGAATATTTAAAAAAAATTTAAAATCATATATTATGCAGTTAAAAATATATGGAAAAATCAAAATAATATACAAAAACATATTCATCTATCTATCTTAAATTAAATTATATCTTTACCAATAAACTAAAGGTGTTTTAGCATCATCAATCCCACCTCTTTTTTCTAGCATCAAGTACTCATCAAAATGAGTTCAAGTTTGTCCTCTAATGAGGGTCTTTTTTTTTAGTTTTTTTCAATACTTTAGTATTATTTTGAAAGAAAGATTGAGTTAAATTTGTTAACGTTACCTGGAGTAAATTATAAATTAGTCCCTCTCGTTAGAAAAATGAACTAATTAGTCTTTTTTTTTTTGAAAAACCAATTATTTACTTCTTCCTGTTTTAATTCTACCAATAACTTAGTTTTTTTTATTATTTTCTTTTAGATTAGTGATTTTTATTTTTAAATTACTAATTTATCCTGTGAAAAGGAAACTGCAGGAAATTACACATGCAAAAAGCCATAAAATATTTCAGTTTGTTTATTCAAGAAAACTGATTTTGGATTGAAGAAAGGGCTTTTTCGGCCCAATAGTTCAAGGCCCTTATTTGCCATTGCCAAAGGGGTTTAAGATTTTTCTAGGGGTTGGGTATATTGAATAGAAATCTTTCTGGGCCTAGTCTTCCTTTATGGAAAATGAGTACTGTATTTTTGGGCTGACCAACTTTCCTTGCCTCCTAATTTGTGGCCCAGTTTTACTTTAGACGGCTGAATATTTTATCTCCAGTAATGCAATCAACTTTCTGAAAGAAAAAAAGAAAAAAAAATATTTAATTTCACCTCAACATAAAATATTAACAACTGTTTGATAGGTTTCAAAAACTCAAAAACTAAAATCCAGTTTTTTCAAAATCATAAAGAATTAATTAGGAATAATGTCTTCTTCTCCTCTTTATTATAAATATAATGACATATGGCATTTTTTTATAAAAATAAATGAATCCATTTATTTTATAAAAATATATTACCGTGGAATTTACCTCCAAATATACTCTATTTAATAAAATTTCAAAAGGGAGATTTACGTACAAATGAAGAGGGTGTGAACATTGATTGATTTACATACAAATTCCTCAAATAAATAGGCAAGCAAAAAAACATCCTTAGTTACAAAGAAAAAGATATACATACCCTTTGCCATTAGGGTTTCCATGGTTTGGCTATATATGTGCTTTTGATTAGGTCAATGATTTCCATTATCATAAAAAAATTAATTTCTTACTACCTCATCAATCTTCAGCAATTAAATAATTTCTCCAAGAAAGTAGACCAACAAAAAGTGTGTGAAAACATTTGATTGATTTACATACAAATTCTAATATAATGATGTAATTGACTAAAGAAAGTTCGAGTAATTTACTGGTTCACAAGCTTTGTGCTACAAGTTACCATGAGCCATTTGTGGATTGGCAGTAAGTGATTCGGAAATTTGCAGTTGCTGCTGCTGTATCAGTTGTGCTCGTCAAACTAAGAATATAAAAATACATGTTTTGAGTGTTAGAACTGGAAAATTGGAACAAAGATTGATTTAAAAAAATTTACCAAATGTTGATTGTTATCCAAATATTATCCTACAGCTCCTATTGGACTACCGTTACATGGGCAGCTAGTACTTACAGTATAGTATTTGCGGCATTGACTTTGGCAGGAGAGGTTTTTTTTTTTTTTTGACCTTTCTTTTTTGATATTATGGATGGTAGGAAATTTTTCGATTCATTTTTATGTTAATTGAAATTAAATTTCAAGATCAGTGTTGGATCATACTAAATTTAAAGTGCATTTTGAAAGGTGAACTCTTTGGTTCACTAGCAACTATATTATAGTATTTTTTTTCTTTTTTATAATGATCTAGTCTCGGTATCTATCAAGTAACCAAAGAGTTTGTAATCTAATTATATTAGTTTCTTATAATAAAAAGTCACGAGTTCAAAATTTAATAGACTAATTCTGTTAAGAGCTTTGAGTGTGTTAGTAAAAAAAAAAAAATATATCCATTAGGTATAGATAAGCACTAAATAAATATGTGTACATATTAAATTTTCAGATGCCGGGATGACCAGAAATTACTTCCAGTTACACTTGCAAATTAAGGTTAATTGAATAATACACAAATTGATGGCATGATGTTCTTTCAATTGAACATTTCAAACTTTGAGACAATGACAAGACACATAAAGAGCCTAATTTGTAACATCAAAGTCGTCCAGGTATTTACCTTGTGAATTCAAGTAGATAAATGGGCTCATCCAGCTTCTGATTTAGTTGTTTAGGTTTTTTTGGTTTCTTGTTTTCTTATTTTATGTTTAGTCAGTTTAGATCAAGCAAAAATGATGTTGAAGATTTGGGTGTCTTGGCTAATGATTATGTTGCTTTTGTGCTCAATAGCAACAGCAATAGCTCAAAGTCCAGCCGATTCAAAGCCTGGTTGCCGAGACAAATGTGGTAATGTTAGTGTTCCCTATCCATTTGGCATCGATGATCCCGGTTGTGCCGAAAATGAGGACATGTATCTAAATTGTAGTCAGAGTGATGGTGATGATCCTGAGAAGTTGTGGTTTTATAATGTTCCTCTTCTTAATATATCAGTGCTTGAAGGCTCAATGATTGTCAGCATCCACACCTCATATGACTGCTACAACCAGTCCGGGTTGATAATTAATGTTTCTTATTCTATCAATCTCGGCCAGGGCCTCTACATGTTTTCAGAAACCCAAAACGTGTTCACAGCTATAGGTTGTGATACTATGGCTGTTGTATACAACGAAGAGGTAACATATGGGGCTGCTTGTATCTCCTTGTGCAATGAAACTGTGAGCCTGGCCGACAACAGTTCTTGCTCAGGCTCAGGATGCTGTCAGACTTCAATTCCTAGGGGTCTGAAGTCTCTGTATATTAGCTCCTCGTCTACACAAAACCACATGAATATTTCAGACTTCAATCCTTGTGGATATGCCTTCTTAGCGGATAAAAGATCTTTCAAGGCTTCAGATTGGCAGCTCTCAGGTTGGCCAGATGGAAATGTTTCACATGTTGTGATCGACTGGGTTGTCGAAACTAAGACGTGTGAACAGGCTCAAGCGAATGCTAGTTCATATGCGTGCAGTAATAATACCAATTGCTCTGAGAATGGCCAAGGATATCGTTGCGAATGCAAAGACGGATTCACAGGAAATCCCTATCTTTCACCAGGATGCCAAGGTAATCTATTGTTACGATTGAGTCAGACGTAATTTGTTTGGGATTTTATTCTTTCTTTTCATTTTTATTAAGCTAGTTTCTTGATTCAACTTCATATAAATCAAACAGATATTGACGAATGCGCTGACCGACAAAGATATACTTGCAAAGGAAAGTGCAAGAACACACCTGGAAATTACACATGCACCTGTCCACTGGGCATGCATGGTGATGGTAAAACAGGTTGTCAAGGATTTGGTATTGCCACAATAGTTTCAGGTAATTTCATTTTCAGCCTTCTGGGCAGCTAGCATGCATTATTTCCTGGATTCTACATGTAAATTTGCTCTGATTCATTGATTCAGCTACCCCATGTTGGATTTCTAAACATGGCAGAAAAAAATAAATCACTTCTTTATATACTTCTTTAATTGATCCATCCCCATATCTCTAAAAAAAAAATTGATCCGGATGTGAGAACAGAGGATCCTGCCCCTCAAAATCAAAGTCAAGAAAAAATTGATCAGAGTTGGATTCAGGGGTGCCTGCCCCTCAAAATCAAAACGTCTGCATATTGCTGGTCTGTAAAGCATGTATCCATCCATGCTGACAAGAGAGGGACTTGACGAAGCCTGCCTCCAAAAATGACTCACACTTTAGAATTTAGTACAAGAATACAGCGTTTGAACTTTTCTGTCTCCCCAGAACAAGGAAGCTCATTATTTGTTCATTTCTTTCCGTTGAATTTTTCTATGCAGTTACTGGAGCAACTATTTCCCTTGTGATTATCGGTGTGCTACTCTGCATAATTTTGACGAAATTAAGAAAGGAGAAAAACTTTAGAGAAAATGGAGGCATGGTTCTAAAGCATCAACGAGTAAGGATTTTCAGTGAGGAAGAACTGGGAAAAGCAACAAACAATTATGATGATCGTCACAAACTTGGCGAAGGTGGTTTTGGCTGTGTTTACAGAGGAGTTTTACCAGATAATACCCAACTTGCAGTCAAGAAGTTTAAGGGAGTAGACAAGGCTCAAATGAACGAGGAATTTCAGCATGAAATTGGCATGGTTTTACAAGTCAATCACAAGAATGTGGTCAAGCTATTAGGCCTGTGTTTGCAGACCAAAGTGCCTTTGCTAGTTTATGAATTCATTTCAAATGGAACTCTTTTCCATCACATCCATGATAAGAAGTCTCAAGTGTTGAGAACGTGGATAAACCGATTGAGGGTAGCGGCAGAGACTGCGCTTGCACTTGATTATTTGCATTCTTTAGCAAACCCTCCAATCATTCATGGAGATGTCAAGACAGTGAACATACTTCTGGATGAAGATTCCACAGCAAAGATAGCTGATTTTGGAGCTTCGGTGCTGATTTCACCTGGTGAAGCTGATATAGCCACAAAAATACAGGGGACTTTGGGCTACCTGGATCCTGAGTATCTTATGACGGGTAATTTGACAGTAAAGAGTGATGTCTTCAGCTTCGGAGTAGTTCTTGTGGAACTTCTGACAGGACAGAAGCCAAACTCTAATGCTAAGTCTGGAGAAAAGCGTAACGTGGTTCAAGATTTCATCTCATCATTGGAAAACAATCATCTCCTTAAACTTTTAGATTTTGAGGTAGCTGAAGAAGAAATGGAGGAGATAGAAATGGTTGCTGAGCTTGCAAAAAGATGTGTAAATAGCAGTGGTGTGAAAAGGCCAAGTATGAAGGAAGTATCCGAGGAGCTTTCTAGGTTAACAGCACTACATGAGGACTTGTGGGGTCAGAAAAATAGCGAAGAGACGGAGCATTTGCTAAGCAAATCATCACTCTCTTTTCATGAGATTGCAAGTCCTTCAATAAATGAACCTCGGATGGGTCAGAGTGTCATATCCTTGGAGATCGAAAATTGCACTTGCAGTATTTAAAAATCGAACCACTACTAGTCTTTACCTGACATTATCAGTTGTAGTTGCGCATGTAATAATGAGCAGCATTTTACAACCTTTTGAGATGTTGAAACTTGTGTTAATACTTGCCAGGCTTCTGTTGGTCTTCAGATTGAGTAATAAGATCGCTGTACTTTCAAATTTAATTACCATGGAATTTGCCTCCAAATATACTGTATTTAATAAAATTTCAAAAGGAAGATTTACATACAGATGAAGTGTGTGTAAACATCGATTGATTTACATGCAAATTCCTCAAATAAATGGGCAAGCAAGAAACCCTTTTAGTTGCAAAGAAAAAGATATACCCTTTTAGTTAATATTTGTGATCAGGCTGGGAAGCTGCCATTAGGGTTTCCATGGTTTTTCTATACATTTGCTTTTGATTGGGTCAATGATTTCTCATCAATCTTCAGCAATTAAATAATTTCTTTAAGAAAGTAGTCCAATAAGAAATGTGCGAAAATGTTGATTGATTCACATACAAATTCATCAGATAAATGGACAAGCAAAATAAATAAATGAAGTCAATTAATAATTTTATGGATGAAAAATATTAAAATGAATGAATGTTCAATAATAAGCATCGCTGAATCTTTTAGATTAGTGATTTTTATTTTTAAATTACTAATTTATCCGGTGAAAGGGAAAGTGCAGGAAATTACACATGCAAAAAGCTTCAAAATATTTCAGTTTGTATATCCAAGAAAACTGATTTTGGATTTAAGAGGCCTATATGTGCCATTTCCAAAGGGGGTTTTAGATTTTTCAAGGGGTTGGGTATATCGATTAGAAATCTTTCTGGGCCTAGGCTTACTTTATGGAAAATGAGTACTGTATTTTTGGGCTGACCAACTTTCCTTGCCTCTTAATTTGTGGCCCAGTTTTACTTTAGAAATATGAATATTTTATCTTCAATAATGCAAACAACTTTTTGAAAGAAAGAAAGAAAAAAAAAGAGAGAGAGAAATATTTTTCCTCGACATAAAAATCTTAGCAACTGTTGTTTCAAAAACTATCTCATCAATTCTTTTGATTGG